ACTTTCCCTACCTCACCGCTATCCTAGCGCAGCCGGAGTGACTCAAACCAAGCTTTTCACGCCTTCTCTGTTACAGGCGGCCTCAGCGACCCATCTCAAATTCCCATATGCTGACGACCCGAATCTACTGGGCCGGCTATGCTCATTGGTGTATGATGGGTTCCGGCGAACTTACCCGCATATTGGATGTGGTGGTTGCAAAACCCCTGCCTAACCGGCTAGACTTGTGATCACGAACGCCTCGTTGACGTGGTTGCCTCCCCAGTGAATGGGTGTGTATCTTCTTCTGTAGTTCGACTATATAAAATAGCAAACGTCTCGCACATTCAAGACTTAGAGATTTCACACACTTCACTAGTTCGACATCTCCTTGTCTTTCTACTCCATACTATACAAGAGGAAGCATCTCAACTGTCTTACCTCTTATCATCAACGAGATATCTCAACCCAACCAGACCGATTGTATAACATAGACTCACATTGTTTCCCCTCGAGCTGGCCTCATTTTCTCAGCTTTTACAGACAATGGACACAATCACAGATACCGGCTACGCCGACCCCATCAACACCTCATCCAGCACGGCTCAGCCTCCTCCTCAACTGGCACTGCTGGACTTCTTCTTCCCAGGCTTCAGCGTTTTCACAACAGCCTTCCAGAAGTACCTCGGAATCGACCTAAATGTCTATATCCCCCTAGTGATCCTCTGCGGCGGCGCCACCTTTGCCTGGAGGTACTTTAGCGAGTACCTCTGGGAAAAGGTTGAGAAGCACCTCATGTCGACAGTCGAAGTCCGCACCGACGACGAGATCTACAACATCCTCATGTCCTGGGTCGCCGCCCAAAAGTTTGCCAAGAACTCGCGGCGTTTCGTTGTCAACACCAACCTAAGCTCCCGTTCCTGGTTCCTCTGGCGCTGGGACGACGAGGAGGAGGAGTCGGACGAGTCCTCCGACGGCGGCCTCGTCGAGATCTCGGGCCAGAAGAAGAAGCCCCTCGCCTACACCCCCAGCTTCGGCAGCCACTCGTTCTGGTACCGCGGTCACCTTCTCCTCTTCAAGCGCAGCCAGAACCGCGAGCAGGCCTCCTACCTCGTCGTCAGCGAGCGCGAGGAGATTAGCCTCTCGTGCTTCGGCCGCAACCCCTGGGTCCTCAAGGAGCTCCTCCAGGAGGCCCGCGCCGAGTACCTCAAGAAGGACTCGCAAAAGACTATGATCTACCGTGGGAGCACCCGCGCCGGCACCACGGAGCCTACGTGGCAGCGATGCATGGCCCGCACTTCCCGGCCTTTCTCGACCGTCATTCTCAACGAGAAGACCAAGAAGGAGCTCGTCGACGACGTCGCCGACTACCTCTCCCCCGTGACTCGCAAGTGGTACTCCAACCGCGGCATCCCCTGGCGCCGGGGTTACCTCCTGACGGGTCCCCCCGGCACCGGCAAGTCCTCGCTCTCGCTCGCCCTGGCCGGCTTCTTCAAGATGCGCATCTACATCGTGAGCCTGAGCTCCATCTCGGCCAACGAGGAGAACCTGGCTACCCTGTTCGCCGAGCTGCCCCGGCGGTGCGTGGTCCTCCTGGAGGACATTGACACCGCCGGCCTGACGCACACCCGCGAGAATGGCACAGGAACCGGTAGCGATGCCGCAGACGCCAAGGACGGAAGCGGCGACATGGTGCCCGGCCAACTGACCGTAGGCAACGGGGCCAACAACACCAGCGGCCGCCTCTCACTATCCGGTCTGCTCAACATCCTCGACGGCGTCGCCAGCCAGGAGGGCCGCGTCCTGATCATGACCACCAACCACGTCGAGAAGCTCGACAAGGCCCTCATCCGACCGGGCCGCGTCGACCAGATTGTAAAGTTCACCTTGGCCGACGGCGAAATCATTGGTGCCATCTTCCGTGCCATCTACGCACCCCTCGAGGGCGACGAGGACATTGCCGCGCAGCCCCTCCAGGAGCACAAGCAACTGATCGGCGACGCTCTTGAGGACGACGACGACGAGAAGAAGAAAAAGCTTGCCGAGCAAGCCGCCGCCCGCACCGCAGAGATCGTAGCCGCCGTCGAGGCCCTCTCCGAGACTTTCGTCGCCCGCATCCCCGCGCACGAGTTCAGCCCGGCCGAGATTCAGGGGTACCTCATGAAGCACAAGCGCAGCGCCGAGGCCGCGGTCGCGGGCGCGGCGGAGTGGGTGACGGAGACGCGCAAGGAGAAGAAGGAAAAGGAGCTCAAGGCCGCCGAGGAGAAGCGGGCGGCCGAGGCCAAGCAGAAAGAAGAAGAGGAGAAGAAGCGCAAGGAGGAGGATGAGGAGAAGGGGAAGGAGGCCAAGGAGAAGCGTAAGGAGGAGAGGGAGAAGAAGCGTAAGGCGGAGAAGAAGAACAAGAAGAGTAAGCGAAATAAGAACAAGGAGGCGGCTTCTTCTGATTCATCTTCTTCCTACTCGGATTCTGGCTCCGGCTCGGAATCGGAGGCCCCCGCCAAGGGTTCGGAGAAGAAGACTGCGGAGGAGCCGGTCGTGGTCTCGGGGGCCAAGGCCGAGCACGGGGCTGAGGATGTCACGCAAAAGCGAGACTCGGGTTACGGTACTCCAGTGGAGGTTTGAGAAAGCTGGAACCCTGCATCACAATGTATTTGAGGCGTTTGTTTCTTTGCCGTTTCTGTATACTTCTTCTTTTGCATTAACCGGCGTCCGGGCGGCCGGTTTAGATGGGGAGATCTGGAGGAGAACTGCGATCCCATGTCATAGCGTTACATCTTCAAAGGGTTTCATTCTGATTTCATCGAGCCTAGAAAGAAATGCATGATTAATGTCCATCTTCTAGCGTAGAACAATAGGCGAATAAACAAGCCATAAAGAAAGATACAATGAGATTGTGATTGTCAACGAACCATCTAGGCCATTGAGCAAAGTAAATGATATTGTCAACGTTGGCCAGACTTAGAAACCCTCGTACCTGCTCGCGTCTGGACTAGCACCACAATGGCTGCCATCAACAACTGACGACTGTGTGCTCAGTCGCTTCATCAGCTTAGTCGATCTGGACTCTAAAGGCACAAACTGGTTGCTCGAGCATTCTCGTCTCCTCTGAATCCTGCCTCGTAGGGTGGGCGCATCCGGCTAGCCTGAAGATATCTTCATTGATCAGAGAACACTCATTCTGCCGGCAGCATTCTACTGAAATCATCAAAACTTCAGAACTTGCCCCTTCTTTAGGCATTACTGTACGTAAATATCGCAGAGCATTTCTGTCAGGCCGTATTCAGAAGTAGACCACGTTTCTCGATCCCGCAGCGGCATTCGGAAGATGCGAGTAAGTAAATCGTTCAATATGTCCTTTCAAGTGAAGTTGCAGACGACCTTCATAAACTGGGTTTATCACTTCCGGCTCCACCGTGGATCAATGTTCGTCTTGCCACTTCTTCTGACCGTCTCTATACTTATGCGGTGCAAAGAGCTTCAATGACTCTACTTAGGAATCATCGTCTGATTTCTCCACCTCAAGCCTAAAAGAAAGGGATAAGGGCAAAGGCTGCGAAACATGGTCGTCAGATCTCTGCTTTCAAGGGATTCCTCACCGTATCTCAACTAGCACGAGCTTAACATAGAATTAGGCCATGAGCCAAGGGTCTCCAGAAATCTATTCGATTCTGAGCCTATCGGCCCCATAGTACTTCTCTCGCGTCCATACGTTTGCTTGCTGAGGTGTCACTTGGAGAAGATGGTGAGTTTTGTCACCGATTACCAGCTTGTGTAATCTTCATCAGGCTTCTTAGACCCATTGTAAATACAGACCGTAGTCTTCAGGCCCGCGCAACTTGTTCCTTGTAATATGAGGCAGGTCTAGTCGGAACAAGTGCCTAACAGAATCCAAAATAGCGGGAAGCTCATCGACCAACTTATAACTAATAGCAAGCAAGCAGACTACATAGTGAGGGGATATGCATTCCGTATCACACATCTGTTGTTGAGAGGTACGATACATTGATGAAAGAAAGGAGCTTTGTGAGATAAATTGACAGAAGTCTTTGTAACAATTCGCAATGTTATATTTGTCATGAGAAGGCTTGAACATATCTCCGTCGTCTCGTGCGTGAACGACCCTTTCGTATATACGTAAGCTTAGTCTGTTCTCTCGTAATGTTGAGTCGATATTTAGACGGCGACATTGGGCTCAACTGTAGCAATGTGCATAATGACCTGATTTTTAACCGAAGCTTATATAGCTTGGGACCAGTGTATCATGGCATTGCTTGGCCGACTTGTGTAATTCCTACCAGGCTGCTGTCTCGTTCCGAGCTTTATAATCACACGTAGTCCGCGTTTCTTACAGGATCTGGGACCCTTCTATATTCAGACGTCGGCCATATGATGAGGATGGAGTATCAATAACGGCAAGAACAATATCTCCTGGATTCCTATCGACAACACGTAGACGAGCTGATTTATCGTGAGGACGCTATATGAGATGACCAGCTGACTCCGAGTGATATGCGAATATCAATGGACAACTCTGCCTACGCCTCTATCTACTGAAATATTTTGCCATGACGTTGATCGTCTACTCTATAGTAACGCCCATGTGCCGATAACGAAGAAGCCGGAGCGTCAGCAATCATCCCCGGATGCCAGTCTGTCGAAGCCACCCACTTCGGATTGATAGTGGGATATCGCAGTCGCCGCAGTTGCCGGACCCGTCCTTCAGTTCCACGAGAGGATTGCCACTGACAAGAACAACCCCTACGATGCCGACGTCTTCGAGGCATTCGACCGGGAGAGACGGACACATCACGAGGACAGTGACGACCGGCTAGCCCAGCTTACTATAGTATATCCTCAAGACTGAGCACGGAGAACGCCCAGGAAACCGAGCCACCAACAAAGCGACGGCGAACTGATCGACGCATATGCAGCACCTACTGTACCGGGCTGACATCCTTAATCTCATGAAGGGATCAAGATGCGGTCCACAGCGCGCAGCAGCGAGCTCGGGGACAACCGCAATGCGACGGGCGAAGTTCGCTGCCCCCGTGGCAGTAAGAGTGCTTGAACTGGGCCGATTTCTCGCGGATGTCGTCTTAACCAGACAGATGCCGTTACTGAAGGGTTCGCTTATCGTTCTACTGTTCTATCCTCTGAGTGGCTGGGAGGGAGACGAGATTTACGTGGAGGGAGCGCCATCGAGCGAGGAGCTAGAGAAGCTTGCGGAAAGTCTGCATGGGAGGCTTGAGACTGAGGATGCTAGATATAGGGTTATCAAGCATGACAATACTGCCAAAGGTGAATCAAAAGGGGATTTCAGTCGTGGGGAGCAGCGGAGAGCGTGAATCTTGTAAGTCAATCAAGCGCTACCATCATTCCAAGTTGGACTATTCTGGGTCTTCGAGATAAGTAGAAAATATACATTCACACTACTCCCGACGAAGTTCATTAATGAAGCCTGAAGGACTGGGCAGAGTATGTGCGGAAAATGCAATGAGATGTGAGGTAAGATTTGCTGATTAGGGAGGGGACAACACTGCCTTAAAAGAGATGCCCCGCAAGAACAGGTCAAAACGTCAAAAACATACAACACCAGGTATTCGCTGGTCGTCACCGACCCAACTACTAATCCGGCCCTCATTGGCTTATCTATGGGAGAGCGGACGGGATCCCGAGTTTTCCAATGGGTATGGTCGTATGTGCCAGAGTGAGCATGCTAAGTTGATAATATTCACAGACAGCTGTATTGAGTTACACCCGTAGTCTGCGCTGAAGGTTTGGAAGGCGAATGCTGACAACAACTTCGTAGCAGGCTTCTGGAAGCAAGTCACTGGAAAATGGGGAAGATGCAACTCTAGGGTCTCAGCGGCAGAGAAGCGGGCCAGCTAAGGCAGAGTGTCATCATCAATGGTTCGATAAACCTTGGATGGGTTGTGTCCTAGATGCATGCGGTTCCCGAGCTAATAGAACGGGGACACAATACATCTGACAGTGTTTCAAGGGCAAGATCTTCAGACGATGAAGGATGTCCATGTCCGTGCCGAGTAAGTGCCTCTGCCTTGCCTTGCCGTGCTGTACATTTGATCGCTGCGCAAGGAATGGCGACGGTTCCTAAACTGGAGAAAACTGAAAACTGAGGGGAGGGGCCGGACCATGCAAACCTGGGCAAGAGGGCCGATGCGAGACCGATGCGGTGCGGTTCGGGTTGCAGGGCATGAAGAACGAGGGGTTAAAAAGAGATTTTTTTTTTCTTGGACGACGTGATGGATGTTACGCTCGGTCTAAGAGCCTCGGAGTTCGAGGCTGAAGAGAGAGACTGCGAGAAGGGGCCAGCCGCCAGCTGCTTGTGACATGTCGTTACGCGGGGCGATCCCATTGTGGATATCCGCCGGGAGGGGCCATCGTTCGGAGGACCGACGCGGCGATGCGAGGTTGAAAGCGTGGGATGCCATACCATATCTTGGTCGCAGTCGATCTACTGTGTACGGAGTAGCAACCGCCAGTCACTCAGTCGGAATTCAGAGTATGGGGTTGGTGGGAGAGAGATGGGCTGCAAGGATGTGATACCCAGAAAAGGTCTCACGTCTCTTGTTTATTCCCTCTTTCTTCTTACGTATCGATGTGCGTCTGGCGAGGCAAAACTGTCCAGTTGTACAGGGTCTAAATGTCGACACGCTTGTCGCTGACGAGATGCGCACATGCGGCACGAACGAAATCTGTGCGAATCTTATTTAGTTTGTTCGCTTGTCTCTGGTCTCTGCGGAGTTTTGGCCGGGCCTTGCACCTGCTCCCCAACGTGGGTATGGCGAGGACAGGAAGCTCAGCCACGATGTACGCGAACACCATCACCAATAACACGTGGTTATGGTGGTGAGAATGAAGCCTCGTAGTTGTGTTTGGATTTTCCGCGATGCGGTGGCTTGGTGACTGGCCTGCCTGTCAGCCCTTAGTCTTCCGTTACCCTAGCACGCCTGGTAAGCTGCTTGCTGCCCTTGCAGTTCTGCAGTCAGACGCATGTGCCTGTGCCTTTTTGTGTTCCCATAAGACTCTTCCGTGCCTGTGCCTGTGCTCGCTCTAGCTGCTTGGTGAATGGTATTGGTAGTACGACTAGGCAAATTCCTGTCGGCGAAAAGCAAATTGGAAATGTCAACATCGGGATGCATGGCCGTTTTGCATCAAGCTAGACTGAACAAGCTTAGCGAGTCAACGCCAGAGATGGCCGTGGTGTTGTTGAAGATGGAGCTATCAAGCGATGAATCGTCAACGAGCAGAAGGGGCTAATCCTAATTAGAACTTGACCAAATCAACTGCAGTTCTGGATGCACGCCTCGGGGCAAGCGCAGCGTCTCATCCTGGATGACGCCCTGGCCAAGTCTGGGGACCTGAGAAGCCAGGCGCACTTACTGCACAGTATATGCCGCCGAGTGAAAGAATGATTCTCTGCAGCTGCCGTCGTTGCAGAAAAGCCCCAAAGAGTATCCGCAATCTTTCCGCAACTGGCGGGGTCATGCGATTCGCCTTCCGTGATAGAGTGAGAGATGAGGGGCAGAGGCGAGCGAATATTGCCCTGACGTAAGAAGCCCTGCCCTACCAGAACTTTCCTTCTTCGACGAGAAACCGCTGGAGTTGCACGGGGTCTTTTTACTTGAGGGACTTCGAACTGACGCCTGACGAATGGGTCTTGTTGTCGTTCGAGCTTGAGTTGCTGTGTGACAACTGGTCCCCTGAACTTGTATTGAATCTCCTGCTTCAATGACCAAGATCATGAGCGAAATGTCGAATAAGCGCCTCAGGGCTGCCGATTGCGCTCCTCGGATGGCTGGCTTGCACCGCCTGTTCAGCCTATTTGACCCTTGAACTTCTTCTGGCTGCCATGGCACGCAGCATGCTTCTAATTGCCGCGTTGCTGGCCTCAAGAAGCGTCTGCGGCCCGGTCCAGTGGATCCTCAATATATGGAACACGAAGCATTCTCGGAGCACTAGAAGCAAAGTACAAGGCCTGCCATGTTATCAAGTACCTCGATCTCTGCATTTCTCCGTGTACTGACTCCTGCCAACCTGCTTGTCACTTCACATGTTTTACGTCAATACCTCCGTACTTGAGACAGGCGACGCCAAGGTACGGAAGGGGGTAACCGCGGGGCTGGAGGGGGGAAAAGTCTCTCACCACGTTAAGCCGTTTCCATGTCTCAGTGCAGACGAGCTTGAGCTGTCTCGAGAAAGCTTTGGTGGCCTATTCAGATACTCTCTTCACTTGCAATAAGGGAGCTATCCGTCGTGCAAGGCTGATGCCGCGACAGTCGAATAGACAGGCATCAAACGCTTCGTTCCGAGATGCCGTCCGTCTTGCTTTGGCCAGGTAGCGATCCAGCTCTGAGCCAAAGCTGAGCAGAGAAGCAGGACGGAAGACTCTTTTCGTCTGTTTGAAAATCTCATCACTCCGATGGAGAAAAGTGTGTGCGAGAGCTCGGCAAGGTACAGCTGGGTACTTGTCGCAAGTCAAACTTGCCTCTTGAAAGTATCCATCGAAATGGTACCTTTGATGGAGGGGCAGATTGATAAGGTACCTTTTGGCTTTCGGCCCCGCTTGACTGTACTTGGACCCCACCAGACATTCCGAATGAGGTGGGCGAAGACGATGCGATGCGAAAATGTTCAGGCAGGTACGTACCGATGGATGGAGGGGGTGAGGGGGAGGGGGGACCTGGGAAACGCCATTTCCCATCTTTTGGCGGTGATGGTACCATAAGTAAGATTTGCCTTCCTTCTCACCGGGCACACAACGGAAGGTGAGGTGGTGAGGTTCCTGCCCACCCACACAGTAGAGCACCGTCCCCCTCCAACTCGATCCATCAATCATTCAGCAGCAGCAGCACCACGAGTGTGTTTCTTCCTGCATGTTTCTTGTCAGTCGGGCATTGTGCTTGTACGACCTCACTGCATTCCGGACGCAGGGTCCGTCGCAACCTTATCTACTTTACCAGGCCTACCGGGGTCCTCTCCTCTTCCATTGTGTTGATGTTTTGTTGCTGTGTGAAGCTTCAGCTCAAGCGATACAATACCGAACAGATGTCTTTGGCAAGCTTGGAAACATGGCAGCCGACTCAATAGGCCCAGCAGACCATCCAACCGACTTGTCAGGGTTATCGGTGTCTCAATTTCCCTGGCGCGATATGTCGTTGATCTCTCGCCTCACCTGGGTATGTAGCGAGCTGCTAATTACCTTAGCTTACAGAGAACGTTTGCTACTTGTACTTGTACACCTCGTCATGCCGCTGCTAGAACAAACAAGACAATTCTTCAACGCCAAGGCAAACGTGTGCTAGTGCAGACCGAGGTGAAGAGAGATACGCCAAGTTTGCGAACGCGCCGAGTCCGCAGTCGAGGCGAGGCGAGGCAAGAAGAGGAAGGGTCGTTGGCGCAGCGCCAGATAAGCATGATAACGATAGCAGTACCTTGTCTCCAAGGGTCCTGGCTTCCAATCTTAATTGTTCGGAATACGGCAACATCATCACATTGTTCAGTCGAGAATACCACAGAGCAGATGACTCGATATTGAAGAGTTATACAGGCAGATCAGCACGCAGACAGCTTGAAGCAAGACTAAGTACGGATACATGCGCCCATTCGGAGGGATAAATCTTCGGAAACCTGGATCGGGCTGGGCATTGCACCGAATTGACTGCGCGCGCAGCCCGCACACTCCCTCTTCCCCAACCCAAGCCACCGGTTGTCACACAAGTCCAGGTCGCACACTGCCAGTCTGCGCCGCCACCGGTGTTCGTTCCTGGGCTCTTTCCCACCGGGGGTTTCGGGCGTCTCGTTACTGTTACTGTCCAGGGAAGGTAATGCAGACGGGGAGAGTGAGCGAATGGTCTTTCCTGTCCGAGGTAGACGCCGGACAGCGGGTGGCTATACTTGGCCTGGGATGTTGCTACTTGTTGATGCGCGTCCAGTTCCAGTCGCAGTCGCAGCAGTTCAGACCAGAACTTGTACTCGTAGCACCAGTCCCCTCCCATCCCGCGTCTAGGAAGTAGTCGGGTGTACATCCATCCCCTCCGTGGTCCATGGTCCATGAACCTGTGGTGTATGAGTATGACTATGATCCCACCCTTCAACGGATACCTAGCTCGTTTTCGCCCTTGGTCAATGGTCTGGCTGTATGGTGTGTTGCGACGTCAGTGGGGATTTAATATTAAATCACTCCCCCGTACCTTTTTTTGCCTATGCCGCCGTTAGTCTGCTCCTATCATCTGCAGGGCAGTGGGAATAAACAGAAGAAGAGAATTAAGAAAAAAAAAGATAAACGCCCCTTCCACCACGGCACCACCTCGACCTCTGGACCCTCTTCTTGCTGTTACTGCTGCTGCTGCTGCCTCCCGTTCGTCTCCGTCCCAACATCTTTTTACCCACTGCCTCCCTCTCCTGATTTCTTCTCATTCATAGCTTCTTTCCTCCTCTCTTCTTCTTACTCCCACCTACTCTTCCTTCCTCGTCCTCCTGATCCTCCCAAACTCTCTCCAACTCACACTTTGGTCCTTCACGGAAAGACGACCACCCTCTACCAATAGGTGCGTTGGGCCCGAATTCACTGCCCCTCCCCCTCTTCTTCCCGTCCCCTCCTTGGTGCTGGAACATCCTTGTCCTGATTCTGCATGTTGGGCACCTTTGGCGACCTGTTTGCCAGGCGCGTTGAAACGGCGGTGAATGGTGTTTGGGAGTTCAAAATAAGTCTTTCTGGCTAACCCTTCAGTCTTTTCGTAGACTTCAATTCTCCCAAAATCACAGTCTGTTCGATCGCGCCGCCCAAAATGGCTTCCAGACCTGAGAACATTGGCATCAAGGCCATCGAAATCTACTTCCCCAACCAGGTTGGTCTCACCATGCTTTTTTTTTGCGCCACCGCCAAATTGCTGGAAGAGGGAGAGCGAAAGGGGAGAGAAAAAAAAATCCGCGCTCTGCCCCTCAGCGCCGAAATCGCAATCCACACGCCAGCACTGCCAGAATTACCCCTCCTCAATCTCCCACCCCAGGCTCGGGCGGGTTAAAAGCCCGCTCCTTGTTGAAGCTCTCACAAGATTCTGAGAGCATTGTACTGACCTGTTTGCTTCCCGTCGTCTAGTATGTCGAGCAAACCGAGCTTGAGACTTTCGATGGCGTCAGCGCCGGCAAGTACACCATCGGCCTTGGTCAGACCAAGATGGCCTTCTGCGACGACCGCGAGGGTGAGCTCCGCCTGCTTCTCCCTAAACCCGGTGCTTGCTCTAATCTGTCGCGCTTTTTGTAGACATCTACTCCTTCGCTTTGACCGTCACCTCCAACCTGATCAAGAAGTACAACATTGACACCAACTCCATTGGTCGCCTCGAAGTCGGCACTGAGACTCTCCTGGACAAGTCCAAGTCCGTCAAGACTGTGCTCATGCAACTCTTCGGCGAGAACACCAACATTGAGGGTGTCGACACTGTCAACGCCTGCTACGGAGGTACCAACGCCTTCCTTAACTCTGTCAACTGGATCGAGTCTTCCGCCTGGGACGGCCGTGATGCCATTGTTGTCGCTGGTGACATTGCCCTCTACGCCAAGGGTAACGCCCGCCCCACTGGAGGCGCTGGCGCAGTCGCCATGCTTGTTGGCCCCAACGCTCCCGTTGTTCTGGAGCCTGGTCTGCGTGGTACCTATATGTCCCACGTCTACGATTTCTACAAGCCCGACCTCACCAGCGAGTACCCCTACGTCGATGGTCACTACTCCTTGACCTGCTACACCAAGGCTCTGGATGCTGCCTACCGCGAGTACAACAAGCGTGAGGCCAAGCTCGCCAAGGCTGCCAACGGCCACGCCAACGGCAACGGAGCCACCAACGGAGAGTCCAAGATCCCCAAGACCAGCCTTGACAGATTCGACTACTTCTCCTTCCACGCCCCCAACTGCAAGCTCGTCGCCAAGTCGTACGCTCGCCTGCTCTACCACGACTACCTCGCCGATGCCGACTCACCCGTCTTCGCCGAGGTCGCCCCCGAGCTCCGCGACATGGACTACGAGAAGTCGCTGACCGACAAGGTCGTCGAGAAGACCTTCATGGGTCTCACCAAGAAGAAGTACCAGGAGAGAGTCGCTCCTGGTGCCCAGGTCGCCACTCTCCTCGGCAACATGTACTGCGGTTCCGTTTGGGGCGGTATTGCCAGCTTGCTCTCCTACGTTGACGCTGCCACTCTCAAGGACAAGCGCGTTGGTGTCTTCAGCTACGGCTCCGGTCTGGCTGCTAGCTTCCTGTCTTTCCGCATCAACGGAGACGTCACTCCTCTCGCCAAGGTGCTCGACATTCCCGCCAGACTCGAGGCCCGCACCAAGCTTGCCCCCGAGACCTACGAGGCTGTAAGCAATTTCCTTCCCCAATGCAATGCCCCCAAGTGAGAATTTACTGACAACATCTCTCCAGTTCTGCGACCTCCGCCACCAGGCTCACCTCCAGAAGGACTTCACCCCCAAGGGTGACGCTTCTACCATCACTCCTGGTACATACTACCTGGAGAAGGTTAACGACAAGTTCCAGCGTTCCTACAGCGTCAAGGCATGAAATCGACAATGACTTTTTTGATCTTGGAATTGCGAAACAAATAGAGGTGGCTGCATAGATCCTGCGACAGCATGAGAGCTGAAGGAGCACGGCCAGCATTACGTACTTTAATCAGAGGAGGAAATACAGAGACGCCGCCGGCCACGACAGACGGAGATTCTGTCGTGAGAGAGGAATCGGCGCTTGGAATGCACCTCGCAATGGGGGCATTGTATATACCGGGCCAGATAGCCGTATTTGAGCGTCCACTAGGACGAATGAAGCTGGAAGAATAGACGAATGAATTGAATCATGTTATATTACTCTCAGATTCTCATGTGCCGCAAGTCTTTGTGACTAAATGTTTCAAAAATTCGTTTTTATAATCTCGCGTCTATGCCAAAATGCCCAAGGCCCCCCTTTTGCGGTTGGCTGTGATGCTAATGATGCTACACTACTAATACATGCCACACATGGCAATCTATGGGTAATATACGCGGCCGTTTCCGACATGATCTACGCCCGACAATGAGAATCACTAGTCACATCCATAAAGTGATGCGGCCTCACCTTCCTACTCGTACATTTCTACTTCTCTTCATTTGTCACCCTTCCACTTCCACTCGGCCCGGCGGTGCAAATGGTAATCCTTGCTCTGGATAGCCTTGTAGATACCATACAGACCGCCAATGGGCGGCTTGGACTTTACGACGTCGCGCCAGCCCTTCTTCTCGCCCTTGCGGGCCTCGACGTCGACCTTGACCTTGTTGTACACGGTCGGCAGCGTCGTTGCGTTGTACTTTTCGCGAAGGGCCTCGTACCAGCTCTTGTTGTTGTAGGCCTGCCAGAACTCGTCTTCGGTGTAGTACGTGTGCGCGTACAGCCACTTCATGCCGCCCAGCTCGCGGAGCTTGTGCTCGAGAGCGCGGTTCTTGGTAACGAATTCGGCCGGGTCAGAGGGGCCCCAGCCCCAGAGGCCGATATTGAGCATCGGCTTGGGGGCCGTTACCGTGCTACCGCTGCTGCTGCTGCCCTCGGCGGCGGGTAAGGTCTCGACCTCGCCCGTGTGCGGGTGGAACGTGGGCGGGGCGGTCTGCTTCAAGGGACAGAGCCAGAGGGGCCAGATGCCAAAGTTCTCGGCCGTGTAGTCGACGAAGCGCTCGGCGTTCTTGTAGGGGAGGGCGAGGTCCTGGACGACGAAGCGGGCCGACTCGCCGCTGCCGTGGAGGGCGCGGTAGAGCATGCGCGTGTGCAGGAAGTCGTCGAGGAACCAGCGGGTGAAGCGCGTGAAGGGGACGTACTTGAAGTAATCGAAGGCGGCAGCGCCGACCCAGAAGCCGGCGCGGTCGTAGCGGAAGAGGTACTCGGCCAGGGGCACGTAGTCGACCACGGCGGACGAGGATTTCGTCGCCACTGTCGACGCCTCGCTGTTGGCGGAGCCGGCGGTGAGGGTGCGGTCTTTGACGTGCAGGTAGAACCAGGGGTCCCAGGCGCCGCTGAAAGTCTGCGGCTTGCGGTCCTCCGGGATCTCGTCCGTCAGCTTGCCGGTGATGACGACGCCATGGTCCTTGGAGAAGAGGATGCCGTCGACGTAGTCGTTTTCGGCGTTGAGCGTCTCGGCCTGGACGGTCTCGACGGCCTCGGCGACGCTGTGGGTGCGGTGGTACGTCGTCTTTACGTACTTCTTGGCCTCGACGAGCTGCAGCTCAATCATGGTGGTAACGCCAAGGGTGCCGACGGCTCCCGCAGCGCCGCGGAACAGGTCGGCCCGCTCGTTGGTCCGGTTGGCGCGGACGACCTGGCCGTCGGCGAGGACCATTTCGACCTCGTTGATGGTGTCGTCGAAGAAGCCGTGCTTGAAGCTCGAGGACTCGCCCGCGGTGCCGGCGTAGCCGCCGCCGGCGGTGATGCCGGGGAACTCCATGACGACGGGGGGGATGAGGCCGTGGCGGAGGGTGCCCTCGACGAGGCGGTCCATGGGGACGTTCGGCTCGACGAGGGCGGTGCGGCGGGCCTTGTTGACCTCGAGGACGCTACCGAGGGCCGAGATGTCGACGACGCGGTCGCGGCGGAAGGGGCGGGTGCTGTTTGTCGAGCCGTGGAAGATGCGGTAGGGTTCCTTGCGGTCGAAGAAGGACCGCACCGCGGTGGCGATCTTGGAGACGGTCTTCTTGTGGCGCTCCATTGTGAACTCGTTATTAGTCGTGCCTGTCCCCTATACTATATGAATGATTCACCGTGAGCTCTCTCGCCCTTCTTGATCGAGTTTCTTGTGAGATCTTGGTGAGATCTCTGTGTGTTCACATCCAACACGGGGTGAGGGTGAGAATGAGATGTGAGTGAGAGCTATGCCAATGAGATTTCGGATGTGAGGTGAGATTTTTCCAGACGTTGCGCTGGCGCCGCAGCGCCACGTTTTCGGGGCTGTAGGTGCCTTAGCTCACCCGCATGTACTTAATCAAGGTTCTGACAGGGGATGCTACCTTACCCGGAGCTGTTCGGTGCAGGGGTAGCTCCAGCCTCAACCATTAACGCCATCTTCAACCTCTACACTCTGGGGGATCAATCTGAAATCTTCAATCCCCAGGGGTGGGTTTTTGAGTCTGTGAGAGTGAGTGAACGACCTTCCGGTGTCACTCGACGCTGGAGCCTCTGGATTCTCGGAGAATTTCATCAAGGCGAAGGGTGACACGACGAGCTGCGGCCCGTTGCCGATGCAGCAAACACAACATTGGTGTGTGAGGTGAGATCTTTAACAAATCCGCCCTCTCTCACCTTGCTGCACTGCAACACGGCCCGAGCATTTCCCGACTCGTCAATCGTCACGAACGCGTGGATCAGCGCACAGAAACCTCCGTATTCGTGATACGCGTTTCGTTGGCCCCTTTCGCATGTGATACTAGATAGCTCCTAGAACGGGGCGGACAAGAATAATCTTCTTGGCTTTGGAGATCCGTCCACTGCTTGTTCAACGGGATGATCCCAGCAAGGAGGGCGATTACGGACACGCTCGAGTCTCGTTTTCTGTGCGAAGTTATCTTATTTTGATTTGTGCAATAGCTCGCCCTATTATCATTCCTTTTTTCATGAGGCGTTTAAATAATTACATGGTCTGATGTTGAATATGCAAAAATCATTAGTGATCTCTCTCTCCTTTCATCGAACACCAGCAAAGCTCATCATCAGACATCGACGCGACTCTCCCTACCCCTTTGCTCCTGGTGGGATCTAGAGTTTCGCCGCAGTCTCTGGCGCAGCCGCCAATGTCGTCTCCTTCTTGGCGAGAACCCTCTTCTGCACGTCCTCAGCGCTCACGGCACTTAACGACTCAAAGTCGAGAACCTCCTCCTGCAGCGTCTTGGACTTGATCGAGGTCGCCCTGGAATCGATCGTCTCCGGGCTCGTGACGGCCCTCTTCATGAAATTGGTCCACCCTTCAAAGCACCGCCTCGCATTGGGGATCTTTGTCAGGATCAGCGCGAAGCAGTGCGGCATCCCCTCGTACTCCTCAAAGACCACGGGCACGCCGTCCTGGTGCAGCTTGCGCGCCATGTACTTGTCCTCGTCCGCCAGCAACTCCCACCCCGTGCAGATGTACACGGGTGGCGCGCCCGACCAGCTGCGGCTCATCAGGAGCGTCACCAAGGGATGCGCGAGGAGGTCGTCGTCGGCGTACATATTTGTCCGGGGCGGTTTCGCGGGCCAGGCTTCGCAGGGGGGCGGGTTGTATTTTGCGTAGACTTCGCCTGTGGGTAGGTAATCGAATTCTCCGTTGGCGTCCCAGCTGGGCGAGCTTTGCGTGATGTCCATCCACGGTGAGTTGAGTGCGAGTCCCGCGGGTAAGGGGATTTCTCTCTCCTCGCCCAGCCAGCGAATCTTTCGATTCTGTCTGCGCAGCTCGAGGAGGAGTTGTAGCAGAGATAGACTCAAGTTGCCCCCGGCACTATAACATGTTGATTAGCACACCGACTTCCTCCTGACGGTTGAGATTCACTCACCTGTCTCCAGCAACGACGATATGTTTCGGGTCGACGGCTTGGTGGTAGGCATCGGGCGGCGGGTATAGCAGAGTCAAATAGGAAACCAAGGCGTCTAGCAGAGCCGACGGGAAGGGGTTCTGCGGAGCCAGGCGGTACCGCACTGAGTACACGCGGCCTCCAGTCAACTTGGCAATCTTTTTCGTAGCTGGTCGGTGAGTCGCCGGGTCGCAGAGATAGTACGCTCCTCCGTGAAGGTACAACACCGTCAGCGGGCTGGTAACCTCCTTCTGTAGCTTTTCAAACTTGTCCTTCTCCCCAATCGCGGGCGGCCGCTCCTCTTCCGTCGCACCGGCACGGTAGCCCGTCCACTCGGCCTCCACTGGCACGATATCCGGCAGTCGCAGCTTGAGTTCTGGCGTATCTGGTGCCCTGGTTGACTGTATGATCCCGATGATGGCGTCGCGCACGTCGGTTTCTGGCGGCACGGGGCTGGCGTATGTGGAAACCCATATCCTCCCCTTGACGCCGCTATCACGGTTCGCGAGCTTCTGCGTGGACGTGATGGAGCGCAACTTGGCTGGCTGAAGGTATGAACGTAGCACCGAGATGATGAGATCGCTCCGTAGATCTAGGTACTGGGATGACTTTGACAAGTGTAGAACATGAAGCAGTGCTACCCGTGTTATCAAGGGCACTTTGGGCAGCAACGACAACAGCAGCTTGAACTGGGCAGGGTCCATATTGAGAGGATTCGGATAGTCGAAGGATGATCGGGACATGGCTAAAAAAAAGGGAGGGAGAGGGAAAACAGGCAACGGCCTGGTCAAGGGATATATAAGAGAAGAAGAAGCAAGTGAAGGGTCAAGGCCAAGACGGCTACTATGCCTGACGTGGTTGAAACACCAGCAACAACACACGCTACTCCAGCAAAAGAAGGCTGCAATCTGTCGATAGAAGGTAGCAACGGTCAAGGGCTAGGGGCCAACAGGATGTTCAGATGAGTAGGGAATTGGTTGCGGGACCCCCCTGGCCATCAGATTTGGAGTCCACTCAGACTCACACGCACACTTCACCGTACGGATCGGCGGTCCCTTGGAGAGGGGATGTATCTAGCCTCTAGGAGCAGGGTACCAAGGTCGAAGAGAAGACAAGGTAAGCTGAGGAAGCTTGCTGTGGAGTGTTGTATGTGTGTGTGTGCGTGGTGTGGATGGGAATAGCTGCTGTTGTGGGGAAAGCGGGAACGTGTTTGCACTCTGTCACGGTACAAGGAGGATGGGAAGAACCAGAATGGAGTGAAAACAAATGTAACGGTAACTGGATGGTAGCCCACAAGTGTCCGCAACATGAGCCAAAGTAAGAAACTAAAAAGAATACTGGATAATTAAAAGAAAGCCAACGAGGCTGGGGATGCTTCGTTGGCGACTAAGGCGAATTGCTTACCTCAGGTGAATGGCAGACAAATCGATGACATGTCGGTTAGCCCGAAAAGGTGCCTCGGTTGATGGGATTTTCCCTCGAGTGATCGCTTGTGGCCATCAAACGAATGCGCAGCGGTCTAAGGCAAGTTTTACCCTCGCCGTTAGCTTCCCGCTTTAACCCTTGCATCATGTGCCAAAGGCTACTAGTGTAATGGTGTTGTATCCCTAGAGAGGGTAGTTCTCCAAATTGGGGAATATCCTCATGGCCACTCCAAATTCTTAATCCATTGGGGTTTCGGAGCAATTCCAGCAGCGATGATGGATGGAGTGGAGGGTTAGAAGAGGCCGAGGGGCCGAAGGAGGGCGAAGATTGGATATGAGTGGCGCATAGGACGACACTCACGAGGAAGCCCAGCGCAATGCGAAGCGTTCCAGAAGCCGTGAGTGGACGGTTGATGAGAAAGTAGTCTGAATCAACTAGGTAAGCACGTAAGGTACCTAGGACTTGGTATTAACTTCTGAGCAGCACACGGCTACCTTAGGCTTCAGCCCGTCCTTCAGGGAGAGAGAGACTGTTGATTGAGATGGCAGATGCAGTGGCGGGGATGAGCCTGGCAGGCGTCATGTTTTGAGTATTACCGTTGCTGGTAAGGAGGCAAAAGACCAGACGGTCGGCAAGCCGCAAGAAAAGATGAGGGTCGTTGGCTTTTGCTTCATCAGCAGCGGCGGCTCCCAGGGGGGTTGCTGTTGTTCGCTCCGCAAGAACGGTCAAAAGAGGAAATTGTTGCGGAAAAGGGTGGAACATGTTCGTTGCTTGTTCTTCGGCCCGCTCCAGTGCTGTCTACGGTTCTGCCTTACTCCGTATTCCTGACTAGATGTCGCGGGGCATACGTTTCGCACCAAAGCTGGGCGGTTTCCTTCTTTTTTTTTTTTTTTTTTCCCCTTCCTGCCTTCATGTTCAGATACTTAGTTAGATGGAGGAGGGGAAAGATGAATGTGTCAGTGTTTGACATTAAAACACTCTTTGACATTTGCTCCGAAGGCCTTCTCCATGTGGTTAACAACTGATACTTCCCTTACTTACAATGTACCTTGAAGCCACGTTATGGCTTGCGCAAAGCTACTGCTCGGAGCAATCCGCCATGCTTCGAGGTGGCTGGCATTTTAGACTGAGAGATGCTTGCTTATCCACCCTTCAGAAGTTCAGATACTCACTTCAACCTTCTCTCACCCCTCATCCTAACCCTGCATTCTTCACTCTGCTCCTCAAACATTTAACCCATCGTCTGTGGGTTGAAACAAGGAGCTTCAAGCTCCGTTGTAGTACACTATTAGAGTGAGATCTGCGCCCGTTACTGAATCAAGCGCAACTCACGAAAGAAAAGAGACACCACATCCCACACAAGACACTAAAACCCCATGCTCTCTAAGTACCTTATTATTAAAGAAAGTTAATTCTTTCTAAGTTATAAGTATAAGAATATAGTTTTAATAAAATAATATAATACCTATTTAGTACTTAAATTAAAATACTTTTTTAAGCTTATTATAAAAAAAAGATAATTATATTATTAACTACTTATTATTAAGGTCCGTAAATAATATTATAACTTTAACTATAATAGCTTTGTTTATAATAAATAAAAAGTCTAATTATAAATCCTTTAAAAGCCTCTAATTAAGAGCTATAAGAGCCTCTAAGTATATTAAATTAAAATATTTATTAAAATACTAATAACTAAACTAACTTTACAATAACAATTTTAATAAAATACTTAGTAAATAATATTAAAATCCTCGTTAACGTTAAGTATAATTTACGAAGCGTAATAATATAGCTATAAAATATTATTAATATATTTTATATTAAAAAGGGTATTATTAATACTAATAAAATAAATAGGGCTATATTAATATAGTACTTTAGCTTTTTTTTATAGTTCGAGAATAATTATTTTAAATAGTATTAAAAGTTTATTAAAAAGCTCTCTTAAGTATTTTAATATATTTATTACTATTTTTATAATAATAAAACTCCCGGTGCTTATATATAAAAATAAGTTACTTATTTTTAAATAGTAATATTAACTTATTAATAAGCTATTAAAACTACGATTTTAATAATCCCTTAATAAGGGAGAGGGTAAAATAGAAAAAAAGATAGGTAACTTATAAAAAGGGTTAAGGTTAAATAGTACGGAATTCGAGGGCAGGGTAGCGTCTACATATACTGCGGCAATCCTCTAGTAATACAAAACGATGGAGTTAAACAGTGACCCCATGCTCTCATGCTCCGTTTTTAGTTTTCTAGCCCCCCTCTCGGATGATTAACGTCGCTTAGATGGAAGAAGAAATGCACCCAATCCTACGGCTCCGGCAGTGGGCCCCCGGCGTTCAGGCGCGCTCCCGCAACACTATCGGGCGACGCCACCCCATTTCAGTCGAGCTTGCGAAGATCGCCAGATACCTTCGTTTTGCAGCTATTTGTACCTGCCTCGCTTTCTACAGTCTCGCTCAATACTCACGTTCTCTTTCATCTCTGCTTGACCGGCATCTATGCGGATCCTCTCAAACTGCACATTGCCAATTAGTCTGTCGTAATCGACTCTTGAAACTGACTGCGTGACAGCCTGGCCCATCTATGAACGCTTTTCATCTGGCAGTAAAAGTACTAAAAGTGAATGAGACGGGCTCATTTCGCGGTGAGACGTTGACACGCACACCCACACTCGCCAACGAACCTTTTCACCCCCGCGAGACCCTCCTCGCTTACGGGACAACTATGGCAACACCCTAGATAGCGACCAGCCCATGTAAAACACGTCAATGGAACCCCGGCCAGCCTCACACGTTCACAACCCCTCTGAACCCTGAAGCTGTGGTCCGGGGCTGGGCTGGAGTTCTGGCTCTTGCACGTGGATGACTGTCACACAAAAAGGTCGCTTTCGGATGTTTTATGCCGCCGCATACACGTAGTCTGCTTCAAGGCTTATATCTACCTTTTGCTACTCTGTACAGGCGTTTCTTTTCCCAAAAGTTCCACACGCGCAATTACACCCGTCGCTCTCCTGTTCATGACGCAATGAAATCATAGCTGCATACTGTACATTGTGTTTCCTTACTATCCCATTCATGAAGAAGCGGATGCCTGCTGCTGCGAGTTGCTGTCGGACGAGGTTCCATTTGTTGCTGCCGGTGTGGCGGCAGAGTCCTTGTTGGCCATGGCCATCTGCCAGGCCGGGATAGAGGCCTTTGCGCCCGTGGCACCGCTGAACGGCGAAGGGCGGTTGAAGGTCGGCGTGCTAGCGGGCTTGGTGGTCTCGGTGCTGGCAGCGGCCTCCGTGCTGTTCGCAGCAGGAGCGGGCGTAGCGGTCGCACCAGGTCGCAGACCGTTGGCGGGTGTCGATGATGACGCGGCGGTCATGCGTTGTGTGATCAGGGTCTTGAGGCTAGTGAGTTCGGTGTTGACCTCCTTCAGTCTCGAGTCGGTAAGATCCTTCTGAGTGTTCATAGCCTTAGGGATGGAATCCTTGAGGATCTGCACGTCGTCCTTGACGCGCTGTGTCTCGAGTTCCCTTCGCTGATTGGCGTTCCTCAGCTCCGTCATAATCTTTTCAATATCCTCCAAAGCCGTGTCCAGTTTCTCAGTGCGTTTTTGCTCCGTAGCCTTGAGTTCCTCTGTATCCTTGGCCAGTTGCTCGACAAGCCCAAAGGCCTTGTCAAACTGCTCCTCAATCGACTTCTTATCCTGTTCGAGCTTCTCGGGTGTCGGCGGCGCAATCAGAGGAACCACGTATCGCTAAGCTTTGTCAGTCATCTGTTTTCGCAGAACCAGAGGTGTGGAAGTCCGTACCTTGGCCAGAGTGTATGCGCCGTAGCTGAAACCACCGACGACTGTTGCCATGATGAACCAGTCCCTCCAGTCTCTCTTAGGGGGCGGTGGAGGAGGTTGCCATGCCTGGTACTGAGGAGGGTATGCTGGTTGGTAGTATTGTTGTGGTTGTTGCTGTTGCTGCTGCTGAGCGACCGGCATCGGACCCGGTGCAGCCTGGACGCCGACTCTCGATAAAGCGGCATCGATTTCTTCTTGGGTCAGGTTCTTAGTCCGTAGGAAAGACATGCGACTCTCGATGGACGAGCTTGCAACGCTCGGGTCCTGCAGAACTACAGTACAGTCAGTATAGGGTTGCGCGCGATACATCGGTTCTTTGGGACTAACACTGCGTCTATCTACAAGTTAGCAGGCCGTCATTGGACATGGGGATTGGGTTCACCATACCGCTGATGCGACGATATCCTCTCGTATCGCCATCTTCAATGTGTCGCCTTGTCAACCTCGCCGCGAACTTCTTCAGTGAAGAGTACACTTCGCGGTAATGGAGGCGAAGGTAAAAGGCATGTGCAGTTGGAAGGAATGACGGAGGGCCCTTCGCGACCTGATTACGTGCAATAATGGGTGGCCGGATCCTGAGCCGAGGCTTCGGCGCAGAGCAGCGGCTGGGGAAATGTCTGGAGCGATTACCTAATGCGGAGAAATGCCGAGCAAGTACCGTCCGGATGTCCTTCGTTCACCGTCACGTGTTGGGCATCACCGAGACCGTGGCAGCCGGGGACCCATCGCCCATTGTTTGAGAGGGGCAGTGCGCAACCAATGAACGAGGGGCAGAACAATTTGTTTACTTGCTCCAGAGCAACAACACTTTTGCATCTGCTACCCGATCCGCCATCCCACTCGCACCTCCTTACACACGACGCATGCACGCACGCGCAAACCATACATCTTTACTCGAATTCGTCGCGCAACAGCTTGCTTCTATCCCCGCGACTCGCAATTGTTGGCTCCTGGATCGCAAGTCCTTTCGCAAGTCCGTTGACTGCGATTTGGCACTAGAACTCCCACTGTTCAGCTCCCTCCGACCATGTCGCAAGACACCGGCCTGTGGAGTGTGCGCAGACCAAGAGAAGTCAGCATTTTCCTCAATATCAGCCTGTCGCAATACCATGGCCTCTAGAGATTCGCCCTAGCTAACATCTTGCGCAGACTTTAGGAGGCATTAACTACAACACCGGCCTACCTCAACCCGCATCAGCGATGAAGCGATCCGCCTCAGGCGTCGGCGCAGGCGCGCCCTACTCAAACAGCCATGGCCGATCCATGTCCGGCTCCAGACAATCTCTGGCATTATCGCGACCTAGCCAGCCCATGTTCCAGCGCTCATCATCCGGAACGAACTTGGCAGACATTGGCCTGTCCTCAGTGAAGCGAACATCATCGATGCGCGACAAGTCCTTTGCCCCGACGCCTGCACCAGGGCGATCTTCACAAGACGATAGAAGGAGCAGCGTGTACCGCGCAAGGACATCAACCGCCGGACCCATGAGCCACCAGAGTTTCTTCCAGCAAGCACCACAGCCTGCTGGCGTACCACGAGACCCCCGCCCGCTGCGAGACAGATCCTACCAGGCTAGAATAGGACAAGAGCTGCTGGATTACCTCGCCCAAAACAACTTCGAAATGCAGATGAAGCACACCCTATCGCAAAACATCATCAAGTCCCCTACACAAAAGGATTTCAACTTCATGTTCCAATGGCTGTACAGACGGATTGACCCGAGCCACAAGTTCCAAAAGAACATCGACCAAGAAGTGCCGCCTATCTTGAAGCAGCTGCGGTACCCGTACGAGAGAAGCATCACAAAGAGTCAGATTGCCGCTGTTGGTGGTCAAAACTGGAGCACTTTCCTGGGATTGCTGCATTGGATGATGCAGCTGGCGCAGATGCTGGATGGCTACGCCTGTAGTCGATACGACGATGCTTGTCTCGAAAGCGGCATCGACGTCACCGGGGATCGTATCATTTTCGACTTTTTGAGCAAGGCATATAGGGACTGGCTTGCCATGGACGAGGACGCAGACGACGACGATGCCAACCGAGCACTGGCCCCTCATATTGAAAGGATGGCCGCCGCTTTCGAGCAGTCCAACTCCAAGTACACCTCCGAGCTTGAAATGCTTGAGGCAGAGAACAGCCGACTTTTGCAAGAAATTGAAGATCTTGAAAAGTCTACACCGGATCCCGCGGTACTCGACAATCACTTCAGGATCATGGAAGAGGACAAGATCAAGTTCGAGGAGTACAATGCGCTTGCCATGCAGAGATCCGACAAGTACGAAACCCGAATCAACGTTCTACACGAGGAGCTTGATAAGCTCAATGAGGAGCTGAGAGAGGTAGAGGACGAACGACGAGGACTTCAAAAAGCTGTGGACGATCTCGGCATCAGCATGCAGGATATCGACCGCATGACTGCTGAGCGGGAACGTCTCCAGAAGGGAATCGAGTCGGCATCGCAAAGATTGGAGGACGTCAAGAAGAAAGTCGCCGAAAAGGAGATGGAGGCGAGCAGGAAACTGGACGAACTCGAGAGAATGGTAGACAGATACAACACTTTGGCGTATCAGATTGCGCTTATACCTGCAACCGCAGTCAACGCTAACGGCAGAGACTACGAATTGCAAGTAACGGTCAACGATGGACCGGACTTCAGCTCTTCCCAATTGAAGGGCTCTAGCGGCGTTTCTTCAAGCGACCGATTGCTTGCTGACCCTGTTACTGGTTACCAACCCGCTCACATTCTCAACCTCGACTTGCGCGGACAGGTCAAGAACAGTTTCCTCACGCTCAGAAAGGAGATTTCCGAAAGGAGAACCATTGCTATGGACAACATGATGAAGGATCATGATTTGCTCGATGGCATCAAGGAGGCAATCGAAGACAAGCGTAACGAAGTTGAGGCTCTGGAGCATCGTGTCCGCGCTGCTGAAGAAGAATATGAGAAGACCAAGGAGGTACGCAGTATGCCTGATCTGCACAATAGACCACCCACTAACAACACAACTATCACAGGTAACAACGACACAAAAGATGGCGTCTGATGCCCAGATCGAGAAGATGGAAAAGGAGCTTGCCAAGATGCGAGCCACTTTGTCAGAGTCGGTACAGCTGATGGAGCAACGTGAGATGAACACCAGCATCGAGTAAGTCCAAGTAAATCGCAGCTACCGGTGCGTCAGTACTGACCGTTACCTTAGATACGAACAGCTCGTGCTTCGTGCCAACTCCCTGCGAGAAGAGCTGCACACAGAGATTGACCGCATGCTCAACGATGTCATCAAATTCAAGATTCACGTACAAAAGAACCTTGACGACTACGAGGGTTTCGTGGCCGATGAGGTTCAGGCAGAGTTGGGCAGCGAGGAAATGGGCGACGACACACGGAATATCAACATGTGAGATCTGCTTTGCAAGGTCCTTTGGGTGGCTTGATGGACGCTTTTCTTTGCGAGGATCGTCTATTGGTTTTCTTGATGAGCGTTCCGCTCGGGCGCAACTTTTAGCCCAGGGCTTGCTTTTGTTCTTGTTTCTCAGATACCATGATGACGGATAATGACGGCGACAGGGACTTCACAGTCTCGATGAATTTGAACTTGTTTACTGTTTTTTGACTTTTTTGTACCTCTATGGCTTGAGTTGGTTTTTGAAGACTTCCAGGTAAAGCTTAGGGCCCATTCGTCTAGTTCTGCGCGGCTAGCTTTTGCGTGGGAGAGGCACAACTCCATAGCTATCTCCGCTTCGAGACGCAAAGGTTGATGGAAGGATACAAAAGGCGAGTTGACAACCTGATGGGATTGTTCATGGCACACTATCTGTACGACATCATAGCCACCATATCTCACATTCTCAAAACCCATTGTACACAACCAAAAAAAACAATAATCCGTATTTGAGGACATATAAGAATGCCAGCCGCAGCTATCATGAACTTTCTTACACCGACAAACCACCAACAACTCCCCCCGCCAAACAAACCAGCAGCAAATCCCGACGCCGCAGTCTGGGAATCAGCAATCCTCGCACTACGCCGACAAAGCAGCATTCCACTCTTGGACAAAAAGGTGCAAACATGGCGCGACGGGTTTGAAGAGGCAGAGTACCGGGACGTCCACCATCTCGTCCAGGAGCACCGCTTGCCACGGGACGCAACACGGCAAATCCAAAGCTGGCTACGGGAGGCCCGTACGTTGGAGACCGAGGCAAAGAATTGCGGACATAAACCTACAAGGATCCTGTACGCTGGTATTGTACAGGACTGCGAGGCGGAACTGCATTGTCTTCGGAACCAGTTCGTCATCAAGACGTTTCGGTTTGAGCGTATTCCGCATAACCTTGCGAAATTACGGCGATGGATTGGTCGTAGCGAGGAGAATCCAGCAACAAGTACCACGGGAGTTTCTCTAAATACTACCACGATTGAAAATAAACCGTTAGGAAGGACCATATCGCTTCCATCCCTCGGCAAACCGCGACCGCTCAGCCTTGAGCTTGTAAGGGGAGCTATGGAAATACCAGACGAGATCGACGGCCCGGACGCAATGGACGACGAGAACGAAGAACAAGAAGAGGAAAAAACAAAGAAGACGGAAGATTACACCTGCTCTGACCAAGAGTGGGCTCATTGTCTGGAAGACTGGAGTCGACGCCAAGAAGACTGGGCTCAACAACAGGAAGACTGGGCTCGCCGCGAGGAGGAGCAGGAGAGCCAGCGGCTGCAGCTGGCGATGAGATACAAGTACCCGGTCAACATGCGCAGAGCCAAAACACAGTACTTGCGGGCCATGGAGAGGCAGGAGTGGGAGCAGGAGAAGGGGGTGTGCGACTTTGCTGGTCATGATCGTTTCTCGTGGGCCTCGGTGTAGAACATCATGTTGGAGATCACCCCAGACGTTCTTTACATTGCACTCTAGAGGATTTCGATGACGAGATACTAAACCACTGCCAAAGACCAAGATGTGGGTTGCTCATGAATGGTGAATGTGAGTCGCATTGAAGTCAGGTTGTCAGATGCGAGTGCGGTCACCATGTCTCTTGTTGCTTTGCATGCATGCTTACGTGAAGTCTGCCATGTGTGAACAATAACCGTAACTCGCAAATGCGGTGTACAAGTAGGGATGAAGAGGCGGCCCCCAGTTGGCTAAAAGTCGCATGTCAGCTCTTCTAGGGTACTTAGGTCCCCTGTTCTAGGGTACCTGATTGTTATCGCTTTCAAAAATGATGACTTCTGAAGGTGAAAAGGTAGAGAGATGGGTTACGGAAAGGGACTAGCGTCGTTGCCCCGGTATCTCGCACAACGCACAACGGAGGGATCATTCCACCGTGTCTCCGCGATGGGCCGCCGGTACATCAAGTAGTACGGTACCGCCGGACTTTAGCAACCCCCGCACTCGCACACAAGCCAAGTGCAATAGCTCACCCAAAGTACCTTAAGTTGGTGAGTGATGGAGATGGGACTTTGGAAGCCGGAGTCAGTGGCTTGAACTTTCAGGGCTGGTCCAGTCGTATGGATCATTGGACTGTCAATGAGACGGGCACACCCGTGGGCGGGTTAGGGGACTTTGGTTGTCCTAAAAGCCGGTATCTCCACTGACGTGTCAATCAGATGCGCCGACTTACATGAAGTGACTTAGAGGTAAGGTAGTGACGCGCAGATGCTTGACGCGTTGCGACAGGTAGACCAGCTCACTTTTCATAGCCATTGGACTGATGGCTCAGAGCTCATCATTCCTGTGGCTCGCAATCGCACATCTGACGTGCAGATTTAAACCAAGCCTCAACGCATGAGTGATGCACACGTATCGTTGACTGCCTACCTCATCTTTTCTCTCTCGGACCGGGCTCATTGCTCTCGCTAACGCCGAGTGGATCCCGTTCCGTCTAGTCCAATTCCCCGGCCGGCGAGCGCGGATTGCAACCACTTTGAGCTTGGCTCTTCCACTCCCCTCCCTCCCTCTCCTCTTCTTCGTGTCACATCCTGCATATCTAACAAAGTCCAACTCTATCTATATATCTCGGAATCCCCTCACACCCCTCGGGCAAGAGGGCCTTTGATGAACCATGTCCAAGTTCAGACAGTTCTTCCGCACTTTCTTCCAACAACCGCCCATACGTCCCGGTACTAAAAAGGCTTCAGCAACGCCGGCCTCCGTGCTCGCCCTTTCAATGGCCTCATATTCAACCACCGTCACCAAGATCCCAGACCTTGGTCCCTCGCCCGAGGATGCCTCATCTAAGCCTCATCACGTCACGAAAAACGGCAACAGAGTCGGCTTCAAGAACGTCCACCCTTCCTTTGGTGATGGCATCGGCTTTTCCAAGATGGTCCGCCATGTCCTCTGGTACGTTTCAATCTCAATCTCATTCTCACAGCCCGGTCACGCCGGCCTCACTTCCGCTTCCACTCCCGCTCAATCGCATCTAACAACCATCACAGGCCGCAAGTGACGGGTGAGCTCAAGTGGCCAGACACCACGCCGCCAACAGTGACCGTCAAAAAGCCAGAGTTCCTGCCCAACCGCACAGCCTCAGACAAGCTCCGCGCAACATGGCTGGGCCACGCCTGCTACTACGTAGAATTCCCTTCCGGCCTGCGCGTCCTCTTTGACCCTGTCTTTGAAGATCGCTGCTCCCCCTTCTCATTTATGGGTCCCAAACGCTTCACCCCCAAACCCTGCGACCTCGCCGACATACCCTTTGTCGACGCCGTCTTCATCAGCCACAGCCACTACGACCACCTCTCCCACGAGTCCGTCCTCACCATCCAAAAGCACAACCCAAAGGCCCACTTCTTTGTCGGCCTCGGTCTAGAATCCTGGTTCAAGAACGCCGGCCTCAAGAACGTCACGGAACTCGACTGGTGGGAGGACGCCGAAATCACCCTCAACATCGACAAGGGCGTTGACGAGGCGCCCGAATCCATCACCGCCCAGGTCTCCTGCCTCCCCTGCCAGCACACCTCCGCCCGCACGCCCTTTGACAAGGACACGACGCTTTGGGCTTCGTGGGGCGTCAAGTCGGCCGGCAAGTCGGTCTGGTTCGGCGGCGACACGGGATACCGCGCCGTGCCGTGGACCCCGCTCGACGTCGACGACTACGGCCCAAAGTACGCCCACCTGCCCATGTGCCCGCAGTTCAAGCAGATTGGCGAGTTCCGAGGGCCCTTTGACCTCGGCCTGATCCCCATCGGCGCATACTACCCCCGTGTTGCCTTCTCGGGAATGCACGCCAACCCGTTCGATTCCGTCGAGATCTTCCAAGATACCAGGTGTCAGCGCGCCATGGGCATTCATTGGGGAACATGGGCTCTGACCATGGAAGAGGTGCTGGAGCCGCCTAAGCTTCTTCAGGAAGCCATGAAGAAGAAGGGCTTGCCCCCGACTGGCGTGTTTGATGTGTGTGAGATTGGAGAGAGCAGGGACTTTTAGGTGAACGACCGTTTGCAGTGTATTATTACTGTATTCATTATCTGTTCTTTCGCATCTAAAGCGGGCGTTCTTTTGGGTAACGGTTCCTAGATACTATGTAGATAAAGGCATGCAGCGCGAGATATAAGCGTCAAGCCATAATCAAATGCGTCACTGAAGACCACGTTAAATTCTAGCTCAGCCCGTTTGACTTCGAAGAGACTCGCAATTGGTGGGCCAACCAGTCTGCGCATCGCAATAAGGCGGATGACTACGCAATATGCAGTCAGCCTGCACCTGAACACAAAGTGCCAATAACATCTACGACGCCAATGGGTTACCGGTCACATGATACTAAAACTCCCTTAATTATCGCTTCGTCAGATGCTTCAAACATCCAGCCAAACAATAACGCACGCTCAGCGCTGATCCTCATCATGGCTTGCCAGATCTGCAATGACCTCCACGGCCATGGAGACATTCAAGATCCAGCCTTGAGGACCAGGCGGAACCATGATATATCAGGTGTGCCATGGGACAAGTTCCAAAGCTCTGCAGCCTCTTGTCACACTTGTAGTGTCCTCTTAATGGGGTGCCGAGGCTGCTTAGCGCAGCATAATGTTCATGAAGCCAACATCAACCATTGCGACATACGATTCATTTACAAGTTGTCGTCTGACCTCAAGTACGATTTTCCGGTCGACGTTGACAAACAAATTCGATTTAACATGACAGATGGGAGTCGATTTGAAGTCGAAATTTTTGCGCTTGAGGGCGGTAAGCACAACACAATCCATTGGTGATATGTGGAATCATACATGTTGAAAGGAATGCCACAGATCCTATTCGTGATACATGGGAATCGATACCGACCACATACAGGACATCGGAAGGTACTGATTCGGGTATTGCTCTTGAAAAAGTCAGATCATGGATTGACATTTGCCTCGGCGATTCTCATGCATATTGCGAGTCTCCTGAAAAGCCGACACTTCCAAGCCGGGTACTAGACGTTGAGTACGCCAAAGACATGATTCGACTCATTGATTCCAGCGGCCAGCACGAAGACTACATCACTCTCAGTCATTGCTGGGGCCAAAAACAAATCATAACCAGCACAAATGCAACTCTTTCCCAACGCAAGACAGGGATTCCAATGACGAGTCTTTCGAAAACCTTTCAAGACGCCGTCCTAGTCACTAGAAGACTTCGAATCAAATACATCTGGATTGACTCACTGTGTATCATCCAAGATTCCAAGCTCGACTGGGAAACAGAGTCTGTGAAGATGGCCGAGGTCTACAGTAACGCTTACTTGACCATTGCTGCTACGCAATCACGCAATGGTGATGGAGGACTATTTGTCAACACACCCGACTTCGAGGTCTCTGACTCTGTCTTGCCCACAGTCACGGGTGACCCCTATCGACTGCTCTTTCGCCGTAGAATTGACCATCATCTCGAGGTCATCAATATCGTCAATCCAACAGACCGAGGAGATCCAACATCCTCCTTTCATCCTTTACTCACTAGAGCTTGGGTCTACCAGGAACGCATGCTGTCGACACGCGTTCTGCATTTCGGCCCCCAAGAGATATTCTTCGAGTGTCGTTCCGACCTCTTCTGTGAATGCGGCCGGATCAAATTTCATGGGTCATCCGACTCTTCCCCCATATCCATTACCAAACTCTTGCACGCTTCCGCACTTGATAGCGAGGTTGATGGGTACGACTGGGTGGATGTAGCTGGCTATTTTATGGCGAGGTTATGGCGCACTCTGATCACCTCATACACTGCGCTTCATCTCACAATGACCTCGGACCGTCTACCGGCCATTGGAGGTCTCGCAAAGCATATGGCGGTCAGGCGAAAGTCGTCCTACCTGGCAGGGATATGGGAAGATTCCATAAACGATGATCTTCTTTGGATCATACGGACTACCCTCAAAACCCCGAGACCAAGTCCCAGGACCGCACCGACATGGTCTTGGGCTAGTGTTGACTCGAGCGTCGATGTGTGGGACGCAGTGTTTGTCTGGGACCCCGACCTTGACTACGAAGAAGAATCCAGAGGCCTTTTTGAGCACTACAGCACCGTTCTGGACTGCAAGGTAACTCCATCAGGCGTGGACAATTATGGCGGCATAGCCTACGGGCTCTTGAGAATATCCGGCCTCACAATGGAGGGTGTACTTGAACGAGACACCGTGATTCGTCACGGGAAGGAGACCGTGGTTCACTATGTCGTTGTATCGACCGGGCGGTTCCATATCCATGCTGATTACGTCTTGGATAGCCCTGGTCCAGACCAAGTTCTTTCAGGCGCAGATGTCCTCTGCCTCAGGATGAGCTTCATCCAAGATGGAGCGAGTGACAATTTCAAGCTCATTTCACTGGTCCTGAGGGAAAGCAAGCAGCAACGTGGTAAGTTTGAACGGATCGGATGCTTCTTCATCCAGTCAACCACCCCACCGAACGATTTGCAGAGAAGTATGTATGCGGATGGCAGCGTGCGTTCAGTGGATATTGTGTGACACAGCGACATGAAAGCACTGGCGAAGACTTGTATCGGACCACAGCACAGAAGCGTAGTCCATCGTCGGCGACACCGTTGCAACAGAGAGCTGTCTGGTATTTTGTTGCCTCTAGGGCAGCAAGTGTGCCCAGTTCAATCAATATCGGAATACTTTCGATGATTGTGTAAACTTCTTATTAGACAGGAACATGAGATGTTGAGCACATCGCCCTATATCATTTCAATCTCTTGTGTAACTCTACAACTATAAAGCATTCTCATCAACAACGATGTTTCCTTCCACGCAACAAGATCACATGCAAACCTTCGAAGCCTGGTTACACAGCAGGCCTCACAAGGTCGTTGGCCAAAACTTCCCGATAAAATCCTCCACATCTTTCCATAAAGTCTCTGGCTCTTCAAGCGCAGCAAAATGACCTCCTCTCTCATGCATTCGATACCAGCTCACCTGGTCTGTTTGCTTGATCCACCTCTCAGGTGCAGTGACAAGCTCATACTTGAATGCTGAATATCCTAGTGGGACTTTGAGAGTCTTCCAACCATTCATCATAAGCTCAACGTTCTCGAAGACCATACGATGGATATAGACCGACGTTGGGAAGCACCCCGTGAACCAATAGAGGGCCAGGTTCGTGATGATAAGATCTCTATCTGGTGTCTTGTCAGACCACTTGATCATCTTGTCCCCGATCCAGGCGAGTAGTGCCACTGGGTTGCTTCCGATAATGTGCCCTGCACTGGCTGGCTTCGTTCCGTCGAGTTGGATGAATGCGGTGCCTGTCTTTGCAAATTCGGTCATTCTGGCAAAGGCTGCTACCTCGTCTGGAGTGTACCGTCCTGCCTCAATACCGGCCTCGACATCTTCACCAGCAGGTGGTGAAACATTCAGCATGCTCATGTGGACGAGTTTGCACGCTGGATCGAGATTCGCAATGACGGGCGCTGACCAACCGCCGAGGTCACCGCCTGAGGCAATGTAGCCAGACTTATCAAAGCCCAACCCATGCATCATCTTTGACATGAGGCGAGCATTATCGAGATGCGAAAAGTCCCTATCGAGGGGCGGTGCGTCAGAGAACGGAAATCCGACATGATGAGGCACAATGACGTGATAGGGAAGCGACTCGGGGTCGTATTGAGATTGAAGTTTGCGAAGGATCGGGAGATACTCTACAACAGAGCCTGGCCAGCTGTGTAGGAATAGAATGGGGATTGCGGATGGGTTCTTGGAGAAAAGAGCGAAGAAGTTGATCTTGTATGTTTTGGAGTCGTCATCGGTAACATCCATATTGAATTGGGGAAAAGTGTTGAGAGTAGACTCCCATTTTCTCCAGTCGTATTCGTTCTCCCAGTATTTGACCAACTCTGAGAGGACATCTCGATGAAGGCCGAAAGACCCATCATCCCTCGAGTTGAACCTATTGGGTTTGGGAATGGGGGTGAGTTTGAGAAGCGTCTTCAAACTGTCAATCTCAGCATCAGGGACTGAGATGCTGGTGGCCGTGAGATTTGCTGAAGGAGGGACCTCGTAGGGATGGGCACTGAAAGGCAGGGAGGCCATTGTCTGGTATTTGGTAGAGTTGTGTTGACTGAGAGTGATGAAGAAGGGAAAGATGGTTTGTTTCTTTCCTCTTGTAAGGAATTGAAGCGATCTTTATACCAAATCCTCAAGTCAAATTGCTCAATCTGTTGCCTGGCCGTGCTATCAGCGGCCTGTTAGTAGGATCAGCAGGCAGACTTCCAGAAGTTTCGTGAAGCCACTTTCTGCTCCTTGCATAACCGATAGTTGCCATACTCGAGCGTAACAAACATCTTCTGGCTATGGGTATTCTGTGGTTCTCCAAGGGATGTGCAGGAGTTGGCCGAACCCCGTACAATCGTAGGGAAAAGGAGGCCAAAGATAATTCGCCGGCTGACAGGTTATTCGGCCCAAACGGGAATAGCGGCATATACTTGCCGTTGCTTAAATCTCACATGAAATCGAATTTCGTCACTCACTCTTCTGCTTTCTTTTGTTTTGGCCAGATCGGAAGGCCAGAGAAGAAAACTTTCACCCGAGCATTGATCTCGGCTGCTCGCATGCCAACAATGTCTCCTGGGCCGGATAAGCCCAAGGCGAGACGCACCAATACACGAAGCCGGACAGGGTGCGTATCATGCCGCCAAAAGCACATTCGATGCGATGAGAGGCGCCCATCTTGGTAAGCTGCCTTCCTAATGTGTCCATTTACGCGGTCAGATAGTGGATATAAAGACTATCTCGACAAGTGCTGTCTAGGAGGATCCAATCACATATAAGAACTTACCCCACGAGGCTTCACCACAAGTCATAACACTTCAGGAACGCACGATTAATGATCTTATCCGACAGCTTCAATTGTACACTCAAAGAGCAGTTATGTTCGTATGTGCCGAAGATTCCGCTCCGCGAACGTAGAGCCGGCCCTTGCCCTGGTCAACAAGCACCGTGGGCCGTTGAGGATACACGGCCCATCACACACCACTCTCATAGCCACAAGGAGATTGCCGTATCATCAGAGGTGCCATCTATCCAAGTGCTCACAATACCGAGTCCGTTTTATGTAACTCCGTGGGAAGCCTTTGATCCCTTCGACACTTTGCCCATCAACATGCCTCTCAGGTCGAAGGAACTTCTTCACTACTGTTAGTCTATTCTCTCATGCTAAGCCAGCAATACGTGTTGGCTGTATCTGATCATAGCACAACAGTTTTCCAAGCTTGCCACTCTCATAGTCTGCTACCCGGAAATCCGGATGATTGGTAAGTGTCTATCGCGGTATCCGGACGACGATATATTAAGAGGCACTGCAGTATTGCAACAGCTACTTCCGATGCAGATGTCCTGCAAAACACGATATTGTTATCCGGTCTTCACTACGCATGGAATAAAGGCGAACTCTCTTCATTTGAATCCACTTTTGTCTCTCAAAAGATCCAGAGCATACGCCAGGTCAACTCTTGGCTTGTCGCAACGCCACACGAACGAGATATCATGCGGTGCGCAAAGTACATCAGTACGCTCTGCTTCATAGAGGTGCTACAACGCTGGTTCGCTCTTATACTCCGTCATACTGACATTTCGAATTCTTAGTGTTGCCTAGGAAATTTGGCTATTGCCGAATTTCACCTTAAAGGTCTCATGACTTATCTGGATTCTCAGCGAGCGGAAACCCCCGGTCAGCACATAATTGATGACATTCAAGTTGAGCAGATGAATCGCTATCTTATTCTGTAAGGAACCTGAAATGGCAGAACAAAATGTACATGTTCATTGATTCTTTACCTCACTAGAGATTACAACGTCGTCCACTGCTTGAAGAGCCGCTCAGACGACACTCTTGCTACCTACGCATCATCTCATGGCAAAAAGCCACACTCACATCCTAGAGGGTTGGCCAACTTGAAACATGGATGGCCTAACCACGAGGCTAGTGATCTGGATCTTCGCCTCAGGGCTCTCCGAATGGTACCTTTCTTTTTCGGCTCTGTGCCACAAGGTAGCAAGCCAAAGAACATTGATATGTACCCGACTATTACAGCTCTTCGTAATATTACCAAGCTCGCAGACACAAGACATGCGCAAACATCTGCTGACGTAGTTCTCACCACGCCCTGGAAGGTTTGGGATAGTGGTGGCTCATCCGACCTACTGTTCGCAGTCATCAGCGCCCATCATTCATCATTGGCCGACAAGATTCAACTCCCATCTCGTGGAAAGCAAACCTTTATATCGTCATGGTCTGGATTTTGTGTGGGCGTCGGCATGTATCTGATTGCCGCTCTTGGGATCTGGAATCAGGGTCTACCAATGGAGAAGCAACTGCACTACCATATACTCCAGATTCTTACACAAGATTTGCGAAATGACTTAGTCAGTCTCTCCAGTATGAGCCGAGAGACACGCGACACGTGGCTCTGGAAAGCATTTGTCGGTTCATTAAGTGTGGTTCATGCCCAGCTATTATTCTGCGACAAGCGCCTCGATTCCATCCTAGAAGAATTGGCCAGCTTCGTTCAGAATTGGGCCAAGATCACAGGCGTTGTTGCATGGTCTGAAGCCAGGGAAATGTTGAGCCGCGTTGTGTGGCCAGTAAGCTTAGATCGCGAGGATAGGTTTGAGTCATTGTGGGCAAGGCTAATCTAGCGTTCCTCAAATCTCATTAGAGAGCTCCTCCTGATTTTAATGAATGTGCAAGGGCTAGCCAAAACGGTTTCATCTGCATCCATTGACAGGTCTCCGGTGCCCTTGAAGCAGATGTGAGCACAAAAAGTCAAAAACATACAACACCAGGTATTCGCTGGTCGTCACCGACCCAACTACTAATCCGGCCCTCATTGGCTTATCTATGGGAGAGCGGACGGGATCCCGAGTTTTCCAATGGGTATGGTCGTATGTGACAAATTCGACAGTCAATGGATGCTATAGTGGGTGTCTTTGCTGCTTCGCTATGGCTCAAAACTCTAGATGCCTAGACGATTATTCCCACTCGCGAGAGCCCCAGCAGCTTACAACTTCGATCACTTTACAATCAAGACCTACTTTTCTGGGGCAGATTACTCCTAATACTACTTGTTCAAGGATCACATGCTTGGCCATTGATATATACCGCAGTGGTCATGCTTCCAGTGCCTTGCCGAATTGAGAATCCGTTTGTCAAAACGGTCGATATCGTACACAAGGATCAACCTGCCACTTTCCAGTACGCCCGTTTGTCTGCATAGTAACCTTTGCTGTTTATAGCTTGACTTAGCATAAGTTGAACCTTAGATAGGCGTTCTACCGGCTACATGCCCGAAAAGAGTTTGAGTCTGAGACTTGGTGGAGTAGGAGACTGACGACGACCCCAAGCCAAGACTGGGGACGACTGGGAAAAGTATATGTAGATATAGCAACCGGCTGCAAAACCCCTACGCGCATCCAACGCCAGAACAGGACTGATCTGAATCCTCAATCACGATGCATCTATTCACTTGCACCACAACTGCCGTCTTACTGGCTTCTGCGGCGGCACAGTCTCTCGGAGACGTCCTAGCCAAGCATGGCTCGACCTCAATGCTCCACGGCCTCCTTACACACCTGAAGCTCATGGACACCTTCGAGAAGGCACAAAACTCCACACTCCTGGCTATGACCGACGATGCGATCATCTATCTCGCAAAATGGGGCCTGAATCTCACCTCCATGGACCCAGACATCGCCAGGGGAGTCTTGCAGTACCATTTCTTGGAGGGCTCTTACCTCTCATCGGCTCCCGCACTTCATACAGAGACCCAGCTAGCCCAGTCGTCACTCAAACCATCCTCAGGCTTAACGAACATCTCCAAGGGGGCCGTCGTCAAGTTGACAGCGACCTGCGACGGCTCACACAATCTACGCGTGGAGTCCGGCGACCAGAAAATCGTACACACAGTCGACACGGACATTCCTCACACATACGGCGTCATTCACACAATCAACCAGGCTCTGGTACTCCCCCGTAGTCTATCAGAGACAAGCAGCCTGGGGGAACTCGACGGTTTCTGGAACGTAGTCACCGAGTCCCGCATGGATGGTGTACTCGAGAAGCTCCACGACGTAACCGTTTTCCTCCCAAGGAACAAGGCCGTCTGGAGAGGACGCTCGAAGCTAGAATCGCTCGGTGACAAGGCACTAGAGACGCTCATTAAAGACCACGTCGTCCCGAACCACGTCTTGTTCCACACATCTTTCCCACAAGAGCCGAGGATGGTGACGACGATGAGCGGCAAGAAGATTTCCATCAGTGGCGATTCCAAGGGGCGAATATTTGTTAACCACAAGATGGTGACGATGCAAAATGTGCTCATTAGCGGTGGGGTTGCTCATGTTGTCGATGAGCTGCTGTCACCGGAGACAGGTATGCCTTCTATTCTGCCCAATGCCTCGTAGACCTCCATACTGACGCACTTAGATCCTGACCATGACTCACCTCCTGGCACCATTGGAGCTCCTTGGGGATTACGTGAAGACATTGCTCGGGCTGTCGTTGGGCTCACTGTTATTTCAGGTGTCTTCATCATTGGTGTCATCAAAGCCGTTAGATGGCGAGCCGCCAAGAGGAAGGCCTTTTTGCATTATGAGCCCCTGCCAACCACGCCCAGTGTGGTTTGGGTGGTGCCCAAATAAGCAAGTTGGGAGCAGGCTGGCTATAGGATACGGGAGGAAGAGTCGAAGATGTGGCACCAAAAGAGACAGGTCTAGTCTGTAGAGGCGCAGTTGTATGGCAATGAACTCCTTTAGCAAGTAACGATATAAGCAAACATGAATGAACAAGGAACCAGAAACAACTACTTTCAACTACTTTCAACATCGGCACAGTAGTCGACTGCTGTCCAGTGCAGGAGGCATCGAGAGAGTGAATCTCCTGACCAAGCTCTACTAGGGCTGAGGCAGCGGTTGAGTCACCGTACTTGATCAACGTATTGAATGAACTGTGAAAGAGAGAACGTGTCTCAGTCTTGTTTTAATAGATGGTCTATCTAGTAAAATTTGGCTTCCCCTGCAGCTGTCCTTGCTGTCATATCCCATAGTTTCGTGAGACTCTTCGACGCCGACGCCGCCCTCCTTCGCATCGCTGCGACCTGACCATCTTCTCGACCTGGAAGGCGACTCTGGGATAATATGGTTCCCTTGGTGTAACCGCGTACCACGCTAAACAATGCAAACATGGGAGATTTTCCTTTGCCCTGACCTGAACCCCCGGTCCGAGTTTTCCTGTGCCTCCCTACCACCCTGATGGCGTGTAACACATCCCGTGTACACCCTAGACAAAGAGAACAAACAGAAGAGTAGAGGTATTGAAGTAAGAAAAAGGAGCTTGTCCAGACAGACGACATGAGTCGAGAAAATGAGTTGAAAAAGAAAATCGGTGTGAGGGTATTAGAAAATCTTGCTCGCCAACGCAGACACATCATCAGACTGCGCCAGCTGATCAAAAGCTTTCACCAACCCCATTGCCGCACCCGCCGCCGCACCACCGACGACAACCATCTCCAACCCGCCGACAACAGCCTGCCTCACGCACCGCAAACCGGACCAACCCGAGACGATACACGTCTTGACGTAGCCAAAAGCGAACAGCGCGACGGCCATGACAGCGACGGAGATGTAGAGCGCCAGGTAGACGTCCTCGGCTGGGACGAAGAAGTAGGGGAACAGCGGGATGAGACCGCCGAGGAGGTAGCCGGCGGCGATGGTGAGGGCGGAGATGAAGGCGCGGTTGGAGGCCGGTTCCTGCTCGCAGTGGTGGAATTGCATGAGGAAGTCGATGAGCCGGGGCGAAGTTGAGAGGTGGTCTGTTACATCTTCGAGGGTCTGTTTGGGGAGGTCGTAAGGTTCGAGAACCTCGAGGACCTGGGCGCGGGCCATGGCCGGGTCGTCTTGGGTCAGGCGGGTGCATTCGCTACGGGTTTCCTTGTAGGATGCACTATTGGGTTTGAGTGTTAGTGATGCTCTCCAAGCATATCGTCAAAACTATGGTGAAGAACTTACGCTTCGCTCTTGGCTCCAAGGTAGCCACCGAGACCCATTGAAATAGCACCGGCAATCAACTCCGCCATACCGCCAAAGATGACAACCTTTGTCTGTCCCAGCGCTGATAGACCGGCCGTGAGGGCAAACGGCACCGTCAAGCCGTCAGACAGTCCAATAGTGGCGTCGGAAATCATGCGAGCGTCGAGGCGGAAGCTGCGCGAGTCGCTCTCCGAGACTCTCGTGGATGTGGTGGACGTTTCTGACGTCGCCGTCGCCATGGTCGCTGTCGAGACGGTCCGGTCGCTGGACCGCAGCAGGGGTTGCCTCTCGAGGTCGCCGCTGTCGACGATAGTCTCATCCGACATTGTGCTCTCGGCGCGGCCGTTGACGGTTTTGGCGCGCGTCGGGGGCGGCGTGCGGCCGAAGAGGAGGTTTTTCAATGTGACGAGACCCATTTTGTGTGATGTGATGTGATGTAATGGTAAGTATAGCTCTTCTCTTTAAGAGAAGAAAGAGGGAGAATGTAAGCCGGTTCCCTGATGCTGATGTGTTATCGAGATGGGAGCGTGGTGTCGAAGTCCAGGTAGGGGTTAATCTGATGTATCTCAATCTTCTCTCGCCCTGATCCTGTAGACCCGTTGTCGAAGCACGTCCGAGGGAAAGAGAAGCTTCTTTCGACTTGTAAATCGCCGAGGTGTAAGCTCGGGTTTTAGTAGGAGAATCGAGAGAGAGAACTCGAGTCCGGGGTAGTGAGACAGGCTTGTTTGTTTTGTTTTGGTTGAATCGAGTTGTTCACAGGTCTGGATGATGTAGTATGAAGTAGTATGAAGGGACGAGATCAGTTGGCATTCCAGTGTCAGATCGAGAGTGGTGTAAGAGGGCAACCATCCGTCAGTTTAAATTCCTCGAGACCTGGGAACGTTTGACTTTCTTTCTCAAGGTACCGTCCCCCCCCCCCCTTCTTGCCCTTACATATCAAAGCTAAGCAGAATCAAGGTACTTTGACTAGAAGAATGTCAAGTAATGGGGCAACAAAAACGAAACTTACAAAGCCCCAGAAGTGAAAAAAAAGGCCAAGCTTGCCTCGAGTCTCGCCCATGACAAGCAAAAAAGCAGCCTATGGTGTAGCTTGTTGCTCAATGCGACCCAGAAAGCCATTAGCAAGGGCCCAGTTCGAGCGCCCCCGATCCCAGAGGCTGCAGGGGTCGCAGGCCACCTTGCGACCCGGTGTTACCATTCGGACGTGTAATCAGCAACGGCCGATCGATGATTGGCCAGACCCAGAGGTAAGCACTGATTGTAGTGTCCTTCATTGGTCCTCTGGCTCGGGAGTGCCCCACCAAAGCTCGGAAGTACGGACGGACAGGTACGGAGTACGTACCTCTTATATCCTTAAACGCAACTCGGAGCACCGTGACGGACCAAACTGCATGGTTACCTCCGCTTTACCTTTGCTTTACATAACTACGTTTCCTCTTTTGGGTTTCTCACTGCGTCTACATTCGCTATTGATTGGTTCGCGGTGCAACCGGCCGACCCTCCGGGGGTCATACGGCCGGTCTTCCGGCGTTTATTTCGCAGCGCCGAGTCGTACTGTGGTAAGGGGGCTAATCTTCATCTAGAAGCCTACCACAGTAGTGTACATAGAGAGGGAGGACAGGGGGAAAGAGAAGACGGTGAAGAGAGAATAAGCATGCTCATCCTGACTGGGGCCATGTGATTGCACGGTCAATCGCTTACTGCAAAAGGTAGTTGGTCGAGAGAGAAAAGTCCGAGGGGGAAATCGCCGCTCGGTGCTCGGCGCCGACGGGAGACGGGAAATTCGAAATCCAAGCGCTCTCACTGGCCCGTTGGGTATCCAAAATGGTTCCTGGCTGATCTGGATGCACCTTGTTCACCTTCTTCCATATTCTATTGGGGTGACTACTGACTTGCACGAGTCGAATCAGAATGGCGACTCTTCCCTCCAGTCACCAGACAACTGCGAAGGGGAAAAAGAAAAAGAAAGGAAAAACGTCACTGCATAACGTGACAGAGCGGCGCAGTACGATTGAATCGAGAGTGAGACAGGTCCTACGTGGTCCAATCGAGTCGATTCAGAGTAGGCAGTGTCTTGTGTCTCTTGGTGGCCGAGGCGCACATACACACATTTCACCAAGAACGACGTTGCCGTAGAACCCTATCTCACAAAATGTCATAGGTAATGTCGCAATGTCGTCCCTGACTTTTCCAGGACTCATCCCACCGGAGACCCTTTGACTTTACAGACTGCAGATTGCAAAAATACTGCCGTAGCATTGGGCCTTATCCGCAAATCACATCCCATGGCCCCTTACCTTGAACTCTTACTCAAGGACTCGAGAGCCAAAGCGTTGCACGCAGTATGCTTTGACTTTTTCGACTCTCCATTGCAAGCAAAGTTTCGAGCAATTGCCTTTCGGGGAACACATCCTGTGTTTGCCATGTCTCATCCAGAACGGTAGCTCAACCTTCTAAATTGTTTCCTCTCTCACCCACTTCCCGACGTGCGCAAGACACATACACACACAGAAACAGAGTGAGAGAGAGACACGAGTGTTCCAAACTTTCAAGACAATCTAGATCACAAACATGAGCCAACCTCTAAATTAAAAAGACACAAAGCAATCGTCTCACTTCAAATCTCGATTCCGGCTGCCCGGTGAACACAACACGTGTACGGAAGTACATTCCACAACCTACGTACCATACCTCTCTGCCTGCCTGGCACCCACTCATCTCACCTTCCCCTACCTTATCAAGCTTGCGGTGTATATGTGTGGCTTTGGACCTCCGTCCAGTGCTGGTCCCAGAGACAACAGGTGGGGCGGATCGGCTCGAAGGACAAGACACTTCCAGTCCCCGGCCATCAGTTCGGATCCGAACTACCTTTACCCACACACGGCGAATAGCGGAGCTCGCTGCGTCCCTAGGGCAGCTGAACAGCTCTGCCGGCTCCCTCCCATGATTCGCCACAGGTGACTGTTTGACAAGCACACGAGCAAAGGCAGACGCAAGTCTATGCGGACTCTTCTAGCTACCCATCACTGCCACATGGAATCTTCCATTCTCCTACCTTACAAACTTCCTTCCCCATAAATACATCACATACATCAGCCTCATCCCAGCCACACTTGTCTTCACAAACACTCATCCTCATCCTCATCCCCATCCTCACCCAACTCTCTCACCCAACTCTCTCACCCTAAACCAACTCCCACTCTCCACAGATACATACTCCGTACATTCCATTCCTCACCTCACACACCCCACACTACGTCATCGCAATGGGTCTCCCAATCAAACTAGGCGTCCCCAACGTCCCAGAAGACGAACCTACAAAGACACAACCAGCTCAGTCTAGTACCACAGAAACAGTCGGACAGAGCCAGCAACACACGGGCCAAGCTACCGGCGCCGGCGCAAACACGGGAGCCGGCACCACCCGCCCCAAGACGGAAGCCGAGCTCGAGGCCGACCGGCTCTACGAGGAGGCCATGGAGGAAGAATACGCCAAGAGAGACGGCGGCTCATAGCCCAGTATAGACAATGAAACCAGAAAGATCATGTATACGGAGAAGACTTCGGTATGAACTTCAAAACAAAAAAGAAAATGCAATTATTCATAATGGGTATCTATGCCCAACTATCAATATTACCGTCCCACCTCTCGCTCATCAATGCATGTATCACCACAACCTCGGCCTTCTTCTCCCCGTACAAGTCTTCGCTTTCTAAGCGATCTGGAACGGATGCGCCTCGGTGTTGAAAACAAACTTGTTGTCCGCTACTTCAACTTGGACTTTGGCATCCGTGGCCTGGATCAGGTAGCTGTACTTGAGAACCTCGGCGAACCAGAAACTTTCCTGGAAGTCGTCGAATGACCCTCCCTTCGGATCCTGGACGTTGGTGATGGACGAGAAGCCACTTCCCGCGCTGCACGTCTTATTGATCGCCAGGAAAGCGTCCCACGCCCAGTCCTGGTACTTGCTGTCGCCGGTGGCGCGGTAGGCGTAGTAGTAGCTCTCAATGACCTCGGGTCGGAGAACGTAACCCGCGCCGTCCTCTCTGATCCAAAAGCCTGCCTTTTGGTAGAACTCTGTCTGGTTGGCGGGCGGGTCCGGGTTGAGCGTCTTGTTCACCGGCGGCCTGTCGTCTTGCCAGCGGAAGATTTCTGGCCCGATTCCAGTCGCCGTCTGTTTGTACGTCTCGCGGCAGCCCTCGGTCAGCTTGATGCCAAAGTCGACGTATTTTTGCTCCTTGAGAACAAGACCACCGAGAATAAAGTTGCCACCATCGAAGCACGCAACTAGACGAGCTTGTTAGCAGTCGACCATGGCCAAAAAGAAGCGGTTCAAAACTTACGATGGCTGCTGACGAATCTCAGGTTCGCGTTGTTGTACGCCGCCAAGAACGTCAAATCAGGCCGAGTAGTCGGGCTCGACGCCAAGAACTTGATCGATGAATCGGCCGCTGCGATCCAGCGCTCCTTGTAGAGCGAAAATCGGTTCTGGTCGTACACCCACATCTTGATGAGGTATTCGTAGAAACTGTCGGTGCCTCCGTTCCAGCCACCGGACCGATCCGCAAATGTCCCGTTCGAGATGAAGACGTCCGTACCCAACAGGCCGGGGAACACCTCCTCGTTGGGCTTTAGGAGGAAATTCTCGCCCTTCTGTGATAGATCCGCGTATTGCTTGTCCCCCGTTAGGTCGCTCAGGCGAGTCCACTCCAGCACCAAGGTCCCAATGGTCGCAATGCCGTTCGTGTCGGAGCCCTTCTTGCGCGGCTTGGGATCGTAGATGAGCGTGTTATCGGGGATGCCGGTTGCTGTATCGAATGCGACTTTGAGATTGTCTGCAAGTTTCTTCGACTGCGCGAGAAGATTGTCTACGCCGGTCTGATTACCGGCGACATCTTTGAGTGGTCCTTTCAGCAAGTCATGTCCTATTCAGTTGTATTAGCTTTACGAGAGAAACACCACCTTTTTACATTGGGAAGCCTGTCTCACCTGCCAACATGCCGCCAAGATATCGGATAGTCGTCTCAAACAGAGAGACCTCGCTATCCGTCACGTTGAAGTTGATGGTCGGTATAAAGTCTAGAATCTGTCCCACAACGTCCTTGTTCTCCATAAGGATGGCAGTACTCAAGGCGTCCACAGCACTCGCACCCCAACCATTCCTACAGCAAAACATCGTCAGGAAACGGGGTTCTTTGCGCTCTATCTCTTGTGGAGCAAACGACTAAGAACGTACCGGTCATTCTCGGCCGTGTTCGACACCGGCTTGAGCGTGTCATTGGGGAAGGCGAACTTGCGGTACCCGTCCCACGAGCGCTGGAAGGCTTCCTTGACGGCTGCCGCCCTCTCGGGCTGGTTGACATACTGCGGCGCGGCGGCCTGTAGAAGAGATTGAGGGGAGGCTGACGCCTGGGCGAGGAGCCCGGCGACGGCCAGTCCGCGCATTGACAGGTGCATCGTGTTCGCGACGAGAAGCCTCCAAGCTATTAGATGACGGTCCTGGGAAGCAGAAAGAGACTGAGACTACAGACGGAGCAGGGTCCGGACGAACGACGAACGATAGTGAGGGAAGGAGAGAGGCTGTGGTCAAATATATATCTCTACCGTCGACTGCATTATTGGGGCGCGCAAAGGCTAGTAAAATGACAATGGGTCAGTCGGGGGTGTGTTGGAATCACGCAACCCCCAGGAATCGGCAAACTCTGGGAAACTTCGGGAGGGAGGACCTGGAGACTGGGAACACTTTCACGCAGGCACAGCATGAGATGAATAAACTCTGTTTCTCATCCATAGTCCCCCGGACTTTGCGTTCGCCCCTGCTCCATGTCTCATCGTCGGGATCTTTTTTCCACACACCAGCTGCCCCTGCTTCCTCTCCTGCTTCTGTCGGCTTTCTGCGTCTGCAACGTTGGGTTTGTTGTGTCCATTCGACATGGTAAGTGGTCCTCGCGATCCGGTGTCTTTCCCTTCCCATCTCCGGCTCATCTTCGCCCTCCTGATTATTGTTCCTTTCGATACCACCCTCCGCCTCCCCAAAGTCCCACCACCACCCCAGTAGAATGAGACTATGAGTGCATCTAACACCCAGGAGTCAGACGAACTGTTCTTATTCGAACGGGGGTTACACCATTGGTAGGGCGAGTGATGAGCCGTCCACGCGGGCCGAGTCCGCTGGTGGCCGTAATGACTGGCATCAAACACGCGCAGAGAAGATCTTGCCCAGGTTCGTCGCTGCTCATCTCGAAATGGCAAAGTCACCAGGCACGGACGTCCCTGGTGAATCAAGCACGTGCGGAGCAGCTGTTGGGGGGAAACTTGGGAAAGGCCCCTTGCCCAGTGAGTGCTACCCAAAGTTAAATGCAGCGTTGCGTTGCAGTTGCAGTTGCATACGGGCAGATGAAGTCAAGGAAACAAATGCTGGCGAGTTGCAATACCCGAGCCTCCGAGGGATAGAAATGAGGGGATGTTCTGGGCCCTCGTACAATGCCCCGACCACAAGGTATTGTAAGTTGTAAACTTGTTGACCTTCCGTATGAGGCAGTGTCTCCTCGGGACTTTGGAGATGCGCTTCAACCGAGAGTCAATTTGCATGGCCTCCAGATATTGACCGACTGCGGCCTTTGGCCTTGGCGCGGGCGGATCAGAAGACTGCTTGGTTGTGCCGACGGCCGCTATACCCGGCTTAATCTAGCCGGGGATGATCGGAGCTACTGATCATTGGATCTCGGAGGCTCTGCATGCTCGGCGTCGATGCAGTGCCTATTTGATTTTCATGTAAGAGCAAGGAGTAGCGCATCAATAGTTTTAGTCCTTTGGCAAGTTGCCCAAGAGTTACACAAACCAAAGATCAAATGTCAATCGTGATAGGGAGACATGGCGCGGCGTCAGAACTAAGGTCCGCCAGCTCGTCCCATGTCAACCACTTGACTTGGTCAGAAGGGTGACATTGGAGAAATAACAGATGCGTGCGTGACGATCTTCATCTCCAACTCTTGACTTTGAGTTCGGTACCTGCAAATCCGTGTCGAGGCCGCCCCCGCACTGCGCGAACCCGCGAACACGACCTCTATTGAGCACAGCATACAGTCCCCCACCTGCTCTGTTGATACGCCAAAGGCAGCGTTGGAAATTCTAGGTAGATCTGACTTGGATGGCATGCTTCTACAGACGGGCTTCGCTTTCCTACCGGGCGAATCGTCTGATGAATGCATCCTGTTTCCCGGTCGGCATCGTCGTGATTGGCCCACCGACGAAGCAAGGGTCGCTTCAGAAGTACGCAAAGTTTACTTCGTCGTTTGATTCGTTCTTCCTCTCGAAGCCGCATTTATGCTCTTCTTCGAATCCCAACGAGTCATGGAGTTTCCTATTTCTTATGCGAAAGGTGCCTCGCGGAACACCTAGGGAAAATGCCATACACGCGAATCCGTCTCTTGTAAGGTGTGCCGTCCTTTCGAAACGTCGATTAGACTTTAACCCACAGTCTCCAAGGCTGTGTCGTGTTTCTGGGGCTGTACGAAAAAGCGAGATAGCCTAGAGAATACAGGTATTCAGCCCTGCTTCCGCAACTTTGCGAGTGCGGCCGCGACCCCGTCTGTAAGTGCATCGTCTTTCGCACTTGCGCTGTCAATTTGTTTCGTCTGCGTCTGCGCCTGCACCGGCGTCTGTGCTTGTGCTTGTGCTTGCACCTCAGCAGTCCGCCTTGATTCCTCAATAGCGGCGGCGATCATCGCCTCTTCATCGTCCTCGTCGAGATCCGGATTGCCTCTCTCCAAGGCGGCAGGCCTCTTGGGCTGGGTTGTCGTTGGCGTGCCCACTGCAGGTGAGCCTCTCGATGAGTCTCTCATAGACATCTCACGAAGCGGGACCCTGCTGAGAGGCACAGCTTGATCCAACCTCGATGCTTGCGACGGCCTCCCGTCCTCGGTGCGGTCCGATCGATCCAGCTGTCGCTTGCCAGATTTTTGTGCTCGGAAAGGCTCCTCGACAGCCTTGACCCATTTGTTGACCTTGACAGCGCCCCAGCCAGCTAGCAGGCCAATCTCCTCGGGATTCGCATTGATGGCGTTCTTCAAGCTACCAAAGTTACTGACCAGGGCAACGGCATCCGACTTGTTGACGCTCCTGGGAACGGTGACGAACTCGACGAGCTTCTCCGCATACGTTGACGCTTGTTGGCCGCGGATGGCGTTGAAATTGGCGTGCTCGTACGACTTGTACAGCTCGAGGTATCGCGCGGCCTCGGCGGCTGACCAGCAAAGAATGAGGGTGACGTTGTTGACCAATGAGGTCTTGGACAACTCGCGCAAGACCTCCTCGTGGTTTGGAATATCAACCATAGTCAGTACGAGACGTAGGTTGTATTTCCCTTGAAGATTCCTGATTCTCGTATGGATATACTCGGGATGGAGGCGGTGGTACTTCAGACTGAATGCAGATACGGGTTAGCATGCCTGCCATTAAGGTAGGAAGGTAGGTAGCTTGAGGGAATTGGTTGAGTAGTGAACCTACCTCAGAAACAATGCACATGTCGTCAAACCAAGACCGTAGTCACCCAGAATATCGCTGTACTCCCATGGCATCGACTTGAGAGATGCGAGCACCGGGTTGCCCCTCTGCCGTGGAGACACGAGAATGGCCGAGCCGGATCCTCGCTGGGGAAGGGCCTGGGGAGTCGGTTGGACAATCTTGCCGCTCGCAGAAGCATTTGCGGGCGGTGGTCTATCCAAGCGCTGCGGTGTCGGCTGCTGTATCTTCTGCGGTGTCGGTTGCTGCACACGGGGACGAGATGTTTGAGCCTCGGGGCGTGAAGGTGCTGGGTTCGAAGATGCGAGAGCGGCCAGGAAGTCTTCGTCGGCACCGAAATCGTCGTCCATGATTGGTGATTCTACGTATTTGCCCAATTGCTTGTATGTTGAGGAATCGGAAACCGGGCTCTGTCTGTGCCACGGTGCACGGCGTGGAGAACAGGAGGATGACAATACGACTGGTGATGTTGAACGAGGCAAAGAAAGTGCACGCGGTGAGAGTCGCGTCTGCGGAAGCTAAGGTATGGATCTGTAATACGTAGTAGAACGTAGCTCACCTTTGGCGGGGTCTGGTAACCAACGCAGTGGTGACTACAGCGGGCCACACGCCCTTAACGGCAATTGATGATGCCATCGAATTCGGCACCTCAGCAAAACTGTCAAACTGGTGGGGTCATTCATGCCATTCACCTCGCCTTTACTCCGTAGACTACTTACTCATTGAAACCATGAAGCAATAGTATTTCAAATGCCTCACATCTTAAGTTCTTCTCATTTTCAGATTTGAACTGAAGTGAACTGGTATTGAATTTGATACTGTTGTTCTTTTTACCCGGTTTAAGGTACTCTTACTCAGACATGCCGTGTCCGAACCTATTTCAACTCCAACGCCGTTGCCCTAACCTTGCGGGTGTTTCCGTACCCAAGTTAACTAACAGTAGATCATCCGTCATCCGTCCTTGTTTCCTAGCCCCGATTATGCTTCATCGTAGTTGCTCCCGCGAGAAGCCGCATCACTCGTCATCTGGTCATGAAGGTTATAGAGAGCCTTCAACCAGGTATCAAACACCGTTTCCAGGTTCTGCGCGTCATCTGTCTGCCTCCTCGCTTCTAGAACCTGGTCCCTCAGCCTCTCGTAGGCTTCGATCATGACCCAGACCTGCAGAGACGAGACGTCTGTCCCCGTCTTGTGCGAGTTGTCCAACATGCTCGTCGAGAGCTCACGCGTCAAGAGGTCCATTGCAATCTGCAGGCTCAGGTTCTGATTCGACCCTCCTTGGGAGGACGAATTGCGATTCAATCGGGCGCGATTCCGCGGCGGGGGCGGGGGTGTCAACGACGGTTCTGGTGAGAATGACAGGGGCTTGAAGTAGATCGCTTCCTCATCGAATGCAACCAGCGTACCATCATCAGACCGCGGTGACCTGGAATACGCCGCCGATGCACGGCGCAACGGCGCCGGTGCCGGCGAAAATATGTCTCGGCGGAGCTGCTCTGCGGGTGTCTCACCGGCGCTGTGGCGTGACCGGGTAGTGGAGGAGGAAATCTGGCTGTGCAAAGATTGTCGTGATGGGAAGGGATCAGAGTGGGCGTCAGTGTATATTGAGCTGGCGTCCTGGGTCTCGAGGAGATCTCGGTACTGGTTCGCAATCAGGTCGACGCTTGTGACTTTTTCGGCGGTTTTGGCACTCCTCCCATAGCTTGCCTTTTCCAGCTGGCCAATGGCGTAGATGGGCGTCTTTGCATGGCGTCTCATGCTCGATCTCGTGCTAATTGACGAGGTCGGTGAGCTGAGTGAGCTGTCGAGAGAGGGCCTCGGCGTTAAATTGCTGACGGCGAGGTGTGAGAATTCTGGAATGATGGCCGGCGCTGGTGGTGTTGTGTCGAATGAGACTTTTCGTGGTTTTTCTGGGGTTCTTGGTCTCGCTGGTAGGGGCTTTGATTTTGACTGTGATTTGGACTGTGGTTTTGATTGCGATTTTGATGTCGGATCTTGAACAGCGTTGCTGTCTCCGAGATATGCGTGCCACTTTGCATCGCTCAGGTCTGGTGACAAACGCAAGGAAGGTTGGCCGATGGTTCCGGCTTGCTGGGCAGCTACTGCCACCCCGGTATTGAGTTTGTTTGATGCCACGGGGTCGATAGGTGCAGGACGTCGGATGGACAGGAGCTTCTTTTGCAATCTGCGCCGTAAGCGTTGTGGAGGTTCCGGCGGGTTGTTTGATATTGGGGCTGGCGGTGCCAGTGACTGTGCATGAGAACGGCGATCCATGTTGTTCTGGTTGGAGTAGCTATGGTGGGAAAGTGATGAGGCTACGCTGGGTGAGAGAATACTGCGATGAGAAGCGGTATTAAGCCGTTTTTTGGTCTGGTAGTGTAGCAATACCAATGGTTGTGGTAGGAGAGTTATCTAGGGTTTGTACCAAGTCATATATGGGTTGGTTGAAGTTCGCAGTCTGCTGAATTCATGACTCTCTGTGAGCGGCAAATGACGTCTCGGGGAATCAAAATTGAGCGTGAGAAAATGGGCTGTTCCATGCACCTGTTGGTTTGTGGGTGTGAGGGGATAGCAAGAGGGAGGGATTGTTATAGCATGGAGGAGGGCAAAAGGCAGAGTCAGCGCAGGTATCCACGCGCATGGAGGTCGGGATATGCATGTACGATGATGGAGGCTTTGAGAACTCGACGAGGCAGAGCTCAAAACCGGATTCCCACTGGACGAGCGGGCCACCAGGCATGAAGCGGGCAGTGGGAGAGCAAAAAGGTTAAAGAGGTTACAGAGGAGGGCATACGGGGATGGTGTGTGCAAGGTGTGCAAGGGAATGCAAGGAAAGGTAGTGTAGGGTAAGAATGAGATGCCTCAACTCTGCTGCGTCTGCGATGCGAGGCAAGGCAGGGTAAGCTAAGCTCAGAATGATGTGAGGTTGGGACAACACATCGCAGTTGGCTGGGCCTGGACAAGGTAGCCATGCGTTCCTGTTTGCTTCTTCTACCTTACGCAGTAGTGGCAGTGGAGAGTGGATATGGAGAAGAACCACCCGAAGGTCGAGACTCGAGGCGAAGCGTTCAAATTCCCGCTCTGTCTGTTGGTGTCACGGTGTTTGCGGCGTGTGCCATGAGCAGTCACTGCAAGTCAGTCAGTCACTGTCAGTTAGTTGAGAAAAAACATGGATGGAGAGGATGGAACGTCGAGGGCATCCTTGCTGAGCCCACGTCATCGTATCCCACCTTTGCAACATATGCCCCAAGAAACTCGAGGGAAAAGGTGGTCGAGGCTCTGACCGGTCAGGGATGTGGCCTGGGGGGTTGGTGGGCTGTCCCGATCGCTGGCAGGGGTCACATCTCAACTCGCATTCGCTCAACGGTGGGCTGTGTGACTGTGAGAATGGCTGCCATTGCAATGGATGGACGGCATGTTGGATGGTTCGCGGTGAGCGGGAGTGAGTTCGGAGTTGGGGTCAGAGATTAGACGGGTGGCATCGGGGGAGCAGTGGTGAGATCTTGCGAGTAGCCTATCGTAGTGATGGGATGTTTTCTTTATAGTGATTCTCAGTCGAAGTCCTCTCTTGATGATCTTGTGGTGACATTTCTTTGCAAGTTGCTGATGGTAAGAAATTGCAACTGCATCTCTACTTTACATGAAAGTGTACGTACTGATGAATACAAGTACGTAGGAACCCCATGTACGTACCTACTATCGACAATCAGGCGCTCGGGTCAGGCAAAGACCAAAGGGCAGGCGGAAAGTCGGAAGGCTCCCGTCTTGCCCGTCGCCGTGTGGTGGATTGGCCCATGTCATCGAAAAGCCTCACCACTTTGGTGTTCGCAGTAGTGACATATTCCCAGCTCCCACATCCTCCCACCCGTACCACCTTCAACCCTGATCTTACGTCCGCCACTTTGTCCCTTCGCGGCTTGCCTCCTCCACCTCGAGGCTACACATCCCAACGCCGTGGCCACAATGAGCCAATCAACGATTGCAATTTTCCCCGCGTTCTCTTGTCTGCGTTGAATCGTCCTCGAGCCACCAACATTTGCCCTACCGCCTCCGTCTGTTGTTCGGTTGTTCCCCCCCCCTCCCCATCTTCAGCTGCAATTCATTCGCCTTCTCAACCAACAAACCTTTTCAGCAGTCCGAGATCGACAGCCATCCCGAAAACTCGCCTCCCGAACCCCTCCAACATTGTCCAAGCATCCCGGACTGCGCTCCGGCATTGGACGACAATCATCCGTCTTCGCCATCTCATCCATCAACCTTCATCTAAAAGTCAATGGGCATTGGCATCGGCATCGGCTACACCACCTACACGACCCTACAATACCTTATCTCACCTTATCATCATCATCATAAGCCATGAATGACTTTGCTCTTTTCCCCAATCTACCTCTGGAGCTGCAAGACAAGGTTTGGGAGGCTGCCCTTCCCCCGCCCGCCCCGACCGCTTTCCATGTTCAACTGGCCCGCCATCCTATGGGCCGCACCGAGGATGGCTCCATCGACCGCTACAATGTCAAAGATAGAGTTCTTCTCTACAGACTTCGCACCTCTGGATCCCCTCATCTCTCGGATCGCGACTGCGTCATGTCCACTCTCTTTGGCATGCTTTTCGCCTGCCATCGATCCTATCGTGTAGCAACACGCGCCCTCAAATTCATCAAACCCTCTCACCCATTTCTTCTTCGAGGCGGTGATTCATCCTCCTACACCCTCATACTTCGAGGTGGCGATTCCCTGGGCGCATACCACATGGAAGTTGACGCCATGCGGGATCTCATCATTCTCAATACTGGATGGCAGTGGCCCTGCCGTCTGATCAGTACTGCCGGCGTTTTTCGTCTTCATGTGCCAACACCGCTGCGCTGTCTGGCTCTCGCCTGGCCTGGGCCTCACCAAGTCGGCCCGTCTGACGGCCGAAGTTCATTCTACAATTCCGAGGCTTTGAACGGCCTGCTAACCTTGTGGGGCTCCCGTACTCTCCGTGCTCTCTACGTTGTCGTGGATCCGGCTCATCTGCGGGAGGCGGAGAAACCGTGGCCCGCTTGGGGTAATCGATGGAGTGTGCCGATGTACGCAGGCTCTGACACTATACTAGAGGACTACTTGGCGTCTTTTGAGGTTGATGCAAGTAGTCAGACACAATACCTCTTCCAACGTGGAAACCGTCGGTACTTTGAAGTCTCGGCCGAGCAAGTGGCGCGGTCCGGTGGTCTCGGAGAGGTCGTCGAGCTTCTCGAATCAGCTCGTAGGCGTCTCACCCCTACCGTCAGCCAGGGCATTCATCAAGAACATCTCACCCAAGCACTAGAGAGCGAGACAGTGCCATGCAGATGTAGGATCCTCTCTTGGCAGCAATCGCCTTAGATGATACGGTACGCCGCCCTTGGGTCCCCTGCCAAGTCCCACATTGCATCGTGCACCATCTTTGGCGGGATATGCAAACTCCATGCCTTGTCTTTCGCATGGTCGTTGTTGATCTTAAAGTCAACATCAAGAATTTGATCCGGTGTCAGAGAACAATGCACACAACTGCGTTCTCCTACGTCAAGCTTGAAGACCGGGTCAAGGAGATCCCGATGGGAGAGCTATAGCCAGTAATGAATGAACGATTCTATCAGCGTTTTGCCGAAGCCAGCCACGTATGAAGTAAATCCTACGGCTGGATTTGCAAGATGGAAACGGAAGAAGTGTAAGAATATCACGAGGTTCGTGAGAGTATTCGAGTATTCGGGTATCTGAAAGGACGCGGGTCTAGCTAAAGGACACACTGAACTGGCGCCCTTTCAACTATACATCTCACCACCACAACCTTACCGAACAGACGTTTTGAAGGGACAACCTTTTGAGAGAACAACTATGGGTACAGTCCAATGTGCGAGAAATCCGATTGTCTGGCACTTTATTCGCCAATGCCGCCAAGTCAGCTCGATGGGCGCAAACGCAGAGTGAATGAACCCTTGGCGGTGAGATGCCGTCTAGAGCCGTTCTGCATATACTTTACGGAGAATTACCTACGTGCGTGCGTTAGATGAAATTCATCACGGCTAAGGACGCAACATCAAATTCTCCAGCCACACAAACCCCGAATGACAGGGAACTACTTCGTAGAGAACCTGTCTGATCGGATTCTTCCAATCTCATTCGCTCCCCCCACCCAACACCCACGAACATCGTCAACATCTGCAGTAGAAGGCTAGAGGCCAGAATTGGGAGGCCTGGGGGTCTGGCGGAGTGTATACCGAGCACGAGGCACGCTAACTTATCCAGGCGGAGGAATTCTTCCATCAATCAGAGGCCGCAAAGGGGATGGGTCCGAAGCCGGCTCGGCCTGGCGAACCCCCCGCGCTGGCACGCCGTCTCTGGGCCGGGTTGTTTTCTACTGCCAAGCCCCACCGAAAGGGACCCTCTCCGGCGCATGCCCCTCCAAGCCCTCCACTGAAGGCCCCTCCCCCTCCTTCCCCCTACCCCTCCATTCTTCCGTCTCCCCCTCATGCTGTTGCTACGAGCAACTATCCCCTCCTCCGCCTCCGGCCCAAACTCCAGACTCGGGGTAAGGCAAAAAAGTGAGCGAGGTGGAAAAAAGTAGAGGGTTGTGGCCCGTGAGTGGTCTAGCCATTGGCAAAGGCGGGGAGGGGAAGGTGGGAGAAGAAACGCATCGTCGGAGGCTATAAAGGTCTCAAATCTCTCTGCCCGTTACTGTGTAGTGTAATAATTCCCTCTATTCTTCCCTCCTCCCTCCTCCAATCTTCTTGCTGTCTACTCTCCTTTCTCCAAGAATCACGGCCCGTGTTTCTCTCTAGTTGTTCATTGTTCCCGTTCTGAGACAGTTGCCCATCATGAGTCTCGATATTACCATCACAGGGTGGCAGACGCGCGATGTGCGCTTCCCTACTTCCCTGGACAAGACCGGTTCCGATGCCATGAACGCTGCTGGTGACTACTCTGCCGCCTACTGCATTCTCGAGACCGACTCCAAGTACTCTGGCCACGGCATGGTATGTTTTCCCCTTTCCCTAATCCCAAATCCATCTCAGTCTCGTAAAGTCGCTCACCCCTCTTTCTCCCTTGCCAGACCTTCACAATCGGACGAGGAAACGATATCGTCTGCAAGGCCATCGACTACCTGGTTGAGAGAATCAAGGGCAAGAAGCTGTCAGACCTCGTCTCAAATTGGGGCCAGACCTGGAGATACCTCGTCAACGACAGCCAGCTGAGATGGATCGGTCCTGAGAAGGGTGTCATCCATCTGGCCCTCGGCTCCGTTGTCAACGCCATCTGGGATCTGTGGGCCAAGGTCCTCGGCAAGCCTGTCTGGCGCATCGTCGCCGACATGTCTCCCGAGGAGTTTGTCGCCTGCATTGACTTCCGTTACATCACCGACGCCATCACCCCCGAGGAGGCCATCCAGCTGCTCAAGGAGCAGGAGCCCACAAAGGCACAGCGCATCAAGGACGCCGAGAACAGCCGCGCCGTTCCGGCCTACACCACCAGCGCCGGCTGGCTCGGCTACGGCGAGGACAAGATGAAGGGCCTCCTCCAAGAGACCCTCGGCAAGGGATACCGCCACTTCAAGCTCAAGGTGGGCAGCAGCGTCGAGCAGGACAAGAGGCGCCTGAGCATCGCCCGCGAGGTCATTGGCTACGACAGCGGCAACATCCTCATGGTCGACGCCAACCAGGTTTGGTCCGTGCCCGAAGCCATCGAGTACATGAAGCAGCTCAAGGAGTTCAAGCCCTGGTTCATCGAGGAGCCCACCTCCCCCGACGACATCCTCGGCCACAAAGCCATCCGCGAGGCCCTCAAGCCCTACGGCATCGGCGTCGCCACCGGCGAGATGTGCCAGAACCGCGTCATCTTCAAGCAGCTCCTCATGTCGGGCGCCATCGACATTTGCCAGATCGACGCCTGCCGCATGGGCGGCGTCAACGAGGTCCTCGCCGTCCTGCTCATGGCCAAGAAGTTCAACGTGCCCATCGTCCCCCACTCGGGCGGCGTCGGCCTGCCCGAGTACACCCAGCACCTGAGCACCATCGACTACGTCGTCGTCAGCGGCAAGCTCTCCGTGCTCGAGTACGTCGACCACCTGCACGAGCACTTCCTCAACCCCTCCGTCATCAAGGACGGGTACTACCAGACACCCACCGAGCCCGGCTACAGCGTCGAGATGAAGGCGGACAGCATGGACCAGTACAGCTACCCCGGCAAGCAGGGCGTCAGCTGGTGGACCAGCGACGAGGCTAAGCCCATTATTGAGGGAGAGAAGATTTAAAGCGGGAGTTTTACGACTCTGGAGGGGTCGAGCAGAGTATAGATTGCTCGTCCGCAGGGAAACGATGGCATCCTGCATGGCTCGGCAGCCGCCGGCCATCCTGTGTTACCGACTTACGAGAAAAGGGGTCCGTCCAGGGAAGAAGGTCGGTCCGCAGGGCAACGATGGCATCCTGTATAGCCAATTCAAATGGCTATCCTGTGCAATTGGGCACAACAATCCAAAAAATTCGGGGGGTCTGGCGAACAGAGCCAGGCCGCAGGGCAACGATGGCATCCTGTATGGCGCAGCTTCAGCTCTGTGGCCATCCCTAATATCTAGCGTTTGATTTTGATTGATTTTCTTGCAAACCAAAAAAAAGGGGGTTTGGTCATAGGGACCATTCCGCAGGGCAACGATGGCATCTTGTATAGAAATGAGTCTAGAGGCTCTCTATCCCGTCACAATAGCTACATAATGAGACAATTCTCTATGAGATACTGATCCTGGATCTTATGTGATTTTGGCTGATTATATCTGGCATAATATGTGAGAGAGTGAAAGTGAAGGTTAAGAAAGCCCCCAAGGTGAATGTTGTGAATGAGGTAACTGAAGAGTGAGAGTGAGCAGTGCACCGCCACATACACAATCAGTCAGCCACGCAAAGCTCACAGATCCGAAGCTCGCGCCACACAAGTGGCCCCAGAAATGATTTTAAGGAGGGAGCTACGGATACGGAGCAAATAAGGAGACGTTTCAAAACGGCAACCAGACAAAACCCCCTTCCTGCCCACAGCGTTGTGTCGCATCGCAAGTCGATGTGTCTTGAAGAAGTCTGAGCTCAAGAGAAACACGCCACGCGCGAGGGTGAAGAGGAAGACCAAGAGATCTTCGACAGCAGGCTGTTGAAATTGCCTGATAACATACCTTCTATTCCATACTTTACCCCACCGAATCGCTTGGAGAGCTTCCTGGGCGCTCATCCTCAGCATTTGTTAATTCATATTTGTATATTGAAATCATTTTCATCGTCACTCACTAACTCAGCTCACGTCTCATCCCACGACAACCTCACTCACTCTATCTCACACGACAGCCCCGGACACGCACACCCTCCCATTCACAACGATGCCGCCAAAGTCGACGGTCAAGATAGAGTCCGCTCCCGAGGGCTTCACGCCCGAACGGTTCGAAAAGGAGCTCAAGAGCCTCGCGGCAAAGGCAAAGGGCCAGACCAGAGGCAGATTCTACAAGCAGCAGGCCTCGGCGTATCTCAAGGCCACCATCCTCATCGCCCTCGCCGCCACCTACAGCAACGTCTCCCAGCTGGCCATGTCGCCCGTCTACGGCGCCATCCCGTCGTCGATATACCACGCCAAGCTCGTCATGGTCGCCTGCTTCTTTGGCTGGGCCGGCAACGTCGTCCTCAACCGCACTTTGCCTATTAACCCGGCCACCCTGCTGCCCGTCGTCGCCCTCTGCGTCCCCGCGATTCAGTACTACCTCTACCAGACCAGCGCTCTGCTGACTGCGTACTGGGGTCCCCTGGTCATGGAGGCCGTCACGCTGTTCCCCCTCGTCGTCATCTCGGTGAGCTGCGTGGCGACGGAGATGGAGAAGGTGAGCCTGTCCAAGCTGCCCAAGTTCCTCGCCGACGCCGCGCCGGGTCTGGGCTCCTGGGGCCTCTTCCGCTTCGTCGAGACGCTGTCGGGCGACTATCTGCAGACCTACGTCGGCCGGTCCTTCTTCCAGACGCGCATCGGCCTCGAGGCGCTGCTGGGCGCCGCATACGCCGTCTACGCCCCGTCCAAGCTGCTGCTTTTCACCGTCCCGGCCGTACTGCACACGGCGTTTTTGAACCCACATGCGCTGACGCCCATGGCTGCGGCTTCGCTCAACTCCACATTGCAGGCGGATAACTGGTTCCTGCTGGATCGCAAGGAGTCCGTCACGGGGTACGTCTCCGTGCTGGAGAGTATCAAGCACGGGTACCGTGTCATGCGGTGCGATCACTCGCTGCTCGGTGGCGAGTGGGTGAAGCACAAGGGTCCTCGCGTCGCGGAGCCTATCTATGGCGTCTTCGTCATGTTGGAGGCTGTTCGGCTCGTCAAAACGACCAAGGCTGTTCCCGACTCCAAGGCTAAGGCTCTGAACATGTAAGTCGTCGTTACATGAGAAAGGGACTCTACGGAACATGTACTAATGACATATCAGCGGCCTTGGTATCGGTACTACGCCAGCGGCTCTGGTCGCTCACGGCGTCGACACGACGATTGTCGAGATCGATCCCGTCGTGCACGAGTTTGCCTCAAAGTACTTCCAGCTGCCGTCCAACCACACACCCGTCATCGCGGACGCAGTAAGCTACACGCGCAAGCTCGCCGACGACCCGGACGCGAGGTTCGACTACATTGTCCACGACGTCTTCACCGGCGGCGCCGAGCCCGTGCCCCTCTTCACCCTCGAGTTCCTCCAGGGCCTTAACTCGCTCCTCAAGCCAGACGGTGCCATTGCAATTGTGAGTCACGTCCTTCGTTTACGCAACCCATTGTGTATAGTTCGTATGTACTCACGTTAGTCGTAGAACTACGCCGGCGACTTCCTCCACCCGGCCCCCAAACTCGTCGTGGACACAATCAGAGAGGTCTTCCCCTCCTGCCGCATCTTCCGCGAGTCGGAGCACCCTACCCCGGAGAAAATCGAGGAGGAGGGCCAGGATTTTACCAACATGGTGATCTTTTGCAAAAAGACGTCCGGGAAGCTCAAGTTCAGGGCCCCCGTTGAAGACGACTTCTTGGGCAGCCGCACCCGCCGCGCGTTCCTGATGCCGGCGCACGAGGTGTTTCCCAAGCACTTTTTGCAGGGGGATTACGGAATCTTGAGGGATAACAGCACGGAGCAGCTGACTAAATGGCACGAGAAGAGCGCGCTGGGGCATTGGGAGGTGATGCGGGTTGTGATGCCGGATAAGATTTGGGAGTTGTGGTGATTGTTCCTATTGTCGGGAAATGGTGTTTGCGCAAAAAGTCCGGATCAAGGGTGGGAATTGACGAACAGTCATTCCATTGGAGATGAGGAGTGCTTGTTCCCTGTACATATGGTACTCCGACATGTGTAATTATATTGGAATGGGTTAGAGCTGCGCGCCCCAACTACCAGGCTCACCTAGAAGAAACTGTTCTCTGAGTACAAAATGAAGCCGCTTTTTATCAAATACTTCTTCACATGTCCTTAGCATGCCTTCTGTACCCCATCAACTCATCACTCTGCACCACTTGTCGAAGCCCCTTCATCCTTCATCTCCATGATACTACCTCACTCATCCTCACCCCCGCTCTTCGCGACAACCTTCCTAGCAGCCTCAAAAGCAGCCTCCTTCGTCACCGCATTCGTCTCCCGCACATACTCCCCCAAATACCCAGGCACCTCCGCCACCTCATTATACGGCCCGGCCACAGGCTCCCCAAGAACCTGATAGACCGGCACGACCCCGGTCCACACCCTCCCCGTAACCTCCGCATCCTCTTTATCAGCCCTATCGTCCCCCGGCGGACCCTCGCGGATCTTGGCACTCCCCGTCGCGATGCGTACTTTGAGCACGCTCGTGGAGGATAACTCGCCCTTGTTGGGCGGCACGCGGGACGCCTCCCAGCGACCTGGGACGACGCCGTCCGTGATGAGCTGCATCGCGTAGAGGCGCTCCGCGGGGTCGGAGACGAGGGTCGCGTGGCCGAAGAGGACTGCGGAGCGGTAGTTGTAGCTGTGGGCGTTGGGGGTCAGGGCCAGGACGAGGCCGTCTAGGTGGGATGCTGCGATGCAGACGGGGAGGCCTGGAGAAGACGGAGTAGACGAGGTAGAAGAGGTAGAGGTGGACGTAGGAGAGGCGTCAGAGGGTTGACGGGAGATGTTTATGAGGCGGGAGGAGACGTAGCCGTGGAGGTAGAGGTCCAGGACGTCGCCTTCGTCGGCGGAGGGGCGGCAGAAGGAGCCCATTTGGCCGAGCATGGGGAGGATCGTGGGGAAGGGGGATTGCGGGTCGTTGAAGGAGACGTGGAGGATTGGGCTTGTGTTTATCATGGTGTGGATTGTGCGGAGGGCGTAAGATGCTGTGAGGTTGTGTTAGTTGATGACTTCGTGAAAAGGTTGTGAGATGAGAGGGAGAGTGAGAGTGAGGCATACCACGCGGGCTGTAGCGTTTGACGGTGCCATATGGCTCTTTGGGATACTCAAGTTCAGTGCGAGGCATGGTTGGATGCTATCTTCCTGTCGAGATGATTGATGAGATTGTTTGGTACGTTGGTGTTGCAACAAACGTCTAGTTCTAAAGCCACTACTAAATGACCTATTTGAGGTTGTCTGTCTCTCTTTGTATTATCATTCCCCCTTCTCCAATTTGATAACAAGAAACGCCCATCCAATGACACGACGAAGAGAAAACACGCCGTTTACGCCCGCCGTCATCCCGCGTAGACTTATTGACTCATTTGGGGCGAACCGGGCCGGGTGAGGTTCACTATGCCTTTCGGGCCCGGCTCCGAAAGGAAGAGAAGCCATGCGGAGTGAGGTGAGGTGATGTGATGGCGGGATCATGGAGGGAGGGGTTTAGCGGCACCGGCAAGCGGCATACCTGCACACGATGCAGTCCCACGCCAGACTAGATCGAGTAGGTCCAAGCAGCCACCTTGGTGTCTGTCAGGCTCCCGCTGTCAATAACCATTTACGTGTGGCGCGAAGGAGCTAGCGGCCATGCAAGATCTTGTGCTAAGGAGTGCTTGTCTTCAGTGATGACCTTTGCGGTCGTCGTCTGTGGACGAAGCGGCGCGGGACCCAAGTGAGCGGGCGGGGGCGGAATTACCGGATAAGGTGTGGAGGCGCGTCCCCGGTCAGGCTCTCGCTGATGTGGGATGGTCCACGGCTCTACGGATGGGAACCGGACATCTCGTGACTGGCATCTAAGTGTTGGAACAGGTAGTCTCATCCATCGCTTGAGTCAGCGGGGGAAGAGAATATTCCCAAACCCGCTCGAAACCTCAAAATGCCGTTGGGAAGAAGTGCCACAGCGAGACCAGTTTTTTCCAAAGCCCGACGGACTTGAGCCTGATCCTCGCCCCCAGGACTCAAGTCGGCAAAGGCTGTTTCTTTCCTTCCAGAGAACGTTTGTCCCAAAACCTTGGGCTACTGCCGATGCCCGAGACTGCAAAGTTTACCATCATCTGTATGTACGTGTAAGAGGAAGAAGAAGAGCGTTAGAGTTGAGGGCGGGGTAAAATGATGGATGGCGATCACGTTCGTCTCCTGGGGCCATCAGACGGGACAAGCTTCAGAACCTGAAGGTTTGTTTGCTATGCTTTGGTGCGTCCCCGAGTCCTTGAAAGTTGGAAGAATGAGAGGGAAGAATCGTTGAAGCAATCTTGTTCCTGCGCCGTCTAGATCTTGTTCCTACGCCGTCTACGCGCAGGAGTTTTTTTTTTTTTGCCTATTCTTCACGCCTCACTGGGCTCTTGTGATTCAATCTCCTGAAGCCGAGGCGCTGGTCCTCTTTGTGTGCTGTCATTATACAGCCAAGTACGTGTGGTTTATCTTACATGATATCGCACAGCTTCGCCTCATTGATGGCATATCGGTAGGATGTCTTCCGGGCGCGCTCACGGGCATCTATCGTTAGAGAAACAGTACCTACTGTCCAAGGCTACTGCAGAGTATTTGACGGCAAACGCACAGAGGGAACCGAGTGGAAGGAAAGCTGAGGAAACAAAGGCGCATGCAGAGGCGGTAGAAACAAGTCTTGCGTTGCTTTACCTGCCAGTGGCGCCGCTGCGTACCTGCGCCGCCCCCCGCATACCCGCGCAGAGTCAAAGAGTCTTGATGTCTTGGTCTTGGTGTACTACACCGCACTAGACAGAGTGACGGTCAAGACAATGTCCACGAATGGTCGGTGATGTTGGTGGTGTAAGAAGTCGAGCGGCTGGTCGGATTCGGTAGCAGCCGAAACGCAGGATAGCTGGGCGGCCAAAGCTTGATTGATTAGCCTTTTGGGACCATCCGACCTTTACTAATCAGCTGGTGCCCTCGGTCTTCGCAGCACGTAATTCACAGAGGGTGAAATCACTGGAACTTGTGGAAGCAGGGCACTCTTGTCTCTTGAATCTTGAGTCTCGAATCTAGCCCTCGTGGGCAACCTCCGCCGTCACAGGGGAACCCTCGCCAGCTGTCTCCACTGTAGAGGGTGCGCCAAGAAACATCGAAGCCCCTGACAAATCTCAAGGAACACTGGGAATCTCCCATTCCTTTCTCTCACCCAAAATCCCTCCTCACGCCCTCGTGACCATCCATCCATCGCCTTTAGCACACTACGGAAACAGAGCAAGAAGACTCTCGCAGTCACACAGACTCAGATACCTCAGCCCTTTTCTCTTCAGTCCACCACACCAAAGTCGACTGTCTGAGCTGCTGCAGACGTGCCCCTGGCGCCGCCGGCTTCTTCCCTGTATCCGCCATCCGATTCCCTGGAGTCCTGGACTGCAGCTGGCTCTCCCCTACCTCACCTTATCTTCCCACGGCTCGACCTAATTGCCCGCTGCAGGTGTATCTGTACAGCTGCACTCGTCGACGGAGTGAGAGAGAATGCGACACTGTTTAACTCCATTGTTTTATATTACTAAAGGATTGCCGCAGTATCTATAGACGCTACCCTACCCTTAAATTCCGTACTATATAACCTTAACCTTTTTTATAAATTACTTATCCTTTTTTTTATTCTATCCTCTTTCTTATTAAAAAATTACTAAAATTATAGTTTTAATAACTTATTAATAAGCTAGTATTATTATTTAAAAAATAGGTAACTTATTTTTATATATAAGTACTAAAAGTCTTATTATTATAAAAATAATAATAAATATACTAAAGTATTTAAAAGAGTTTTTTAATAAACTTTTAATACTATTTAAAATAATTATTTTTAAATTATAAAAAAAAAGCTAAAGTATTATATTAATACGGCCCTATCTGTTTTATTAATATTAATAATACCCTTTTTAATATAAGATATATTAATAATATTTTATAGTTACGTTACTATACTTTATAAATCGTATTTAACATTAATAAGGTTTTTAGCGTTATTTACTAAGTTTTTTATTAAGGTCGTTATTATAAAATTAGTTTAGTTATTAATATTTTAATAAGTATTTTAACTTAGCTCTTATAGCTTTTAAAAAAAGGCTTTTAAAGGACTTATAATTAGATTTTTTATTTATTACGAGCGAAGTTATTATAGTTAAAACTATAATAATTAAAATTATAATAATTAAAGCTATAATATTACTTATAAACCTCGATAATAAGTAGTTAATAATATAGTTATCTTTTTCTTATAATAAGCTTAAAAAAGTATTTTAATTTAAGTACTAAGTAGGTATTATACTATTTTATTAAAACTATATTTTTATACTTATAACTTAGAAAGAATTAACTTTCTTCGATAATAAGGTACTTAGAGAGAGAATGCGAGCGAGGAAAAGGACGAGGACGAGGTGCCTTGCTGCATAACGGGTACACATGTCACCCCAGAACCGAGGATAGCTCTGCCAAAAGGCGATTGCTTTCCAGAGAGAAGGCGTTCGACTCTTCATGTTTCGATCAACCAGGAGTCCCAGGACATCCGCAGTTCAAAGGAGACACGCGGGCTGCACAGGGGAATCACCGTTGCCTCGATCAAAGGTTCTATTCTCGGACCTCTCTCCTCTGCTAAGCGCAGGTAGGTTTCTGATGCGAGGAATGCACCTTAGTACCTTCTTTTCTCCCCCTCCCTCATGGCGAGGCCAGCGGCAAAGTTAGACGTCAATTGTCAAACAGCAAGGGCAGGCTGCGTGTGTTTCCACATATGGCCAGCAATTGGCCGAGTCTATCATCTCTGGTCTTTAGGATGTTCCTCTGCACTCTGGTATTACGGAGTACTGCACAATTGTTCGACGAAGCGCCGACCTTCAGAGACTCCTTGTTGCAAGTCCACGGGTCGATTAGCCCCAAAATTGAGCCTCAACGAACCATCGCTACTCCATTGGACGATGACGATGGGACACAACAAGTGTTGTCAAGGTCTGCGCTGCTCTAGTATCATTTCCAGCTACTAACACGAGTCCATCCAAATCGTTCCATACAAGTACCAGCTAAGAAGAAAAACCCCCACAAAAAGGGTCTGACTTTCCTGTTCCGATGACAAGAATAAACCACCCTAGGTCCCAAAAGACACGAGGCGAATTGCTATAGATGAGAAGAGACCACCGGCCAGACAGACACCCTGGACCAGACCCAAAGACCAGAAAAAGAAAGAAGATAAAAAGAGTCAAGACGGATGGAATGGAATGGGGCCTCTGGTCGGCCCTGGACCCCTCCATCCCGAACATCGTGGGTTTCGACGCTGAAACAGAGTCGACGCACGCCACGGCGTCGTGGTGGATAGAACAAGGTTCTAACCCCTGTCAGCCTTGCCGCCAGCCCAATCACCGCCCCTGACCAGTGCCGGCATGAACGACGTATCGAGAGATCTCTCACAGCACCCTGCCCACGGCCGGTTTGAGACCCTCTTCCCTCCTACACTACGCTTGTCGAGTGTCTACTGTCAAGTATCTCATTTTTGCAACTCGACTCTTCAGAAGGACCACACATCATTTTAGCCGATTCTGGCTCTGGGATTGGCTTAGACCATCCGCTGAGGTAACATCTGGCCGGGTCCCCCAGAACCCTCATACCGAGAATAACCTTGGAAATAGGCTACCACACTATGCCCGTCCCATGAGACGAGGCCGGGTACTTCGTACGGATACTCTGGTCTGCAGCGTCTGCAGGTACTGCTGGTCTTCTCTGGACCGCCGTGCCTCTTCATCGTGTGTCCCTGGCGTTACGTCTTCCTGCTCCCTCATCTTGCTCCAGCGCGGTAGCCCATACGTAGACGCAGCCGCAGGATCACCGTCCATCCATCCATCCATCCGTACCTTTCTTTACACTACCGCATCCAAATCTACTCTGAGTCTCTGACTATCCGTACCTGGCCTTCCACCATCTGCACACACCCCCCTCCCGGTTTGTCAGTCTGCCGGCTACTCTGTTCTCCTTCCCTCTTCGTCTGTGCCCCCCGTCTTCGCTCTCCACTCTGGTGCGTCCCCGAAAGCGTATCGAGAGAACATCCGCCTCTGCTCGTCCTACCGCGCGCCCTCACACATCTCCGTCCTGTCATCCTTCATACTATCTATCTGCCACTTCGTGTGTACATCGTGGGGCATCTTTCCTGTCATGTTTGTCTTTGTTTGATCGTGGAATGCAACCATAGTACGAGGCATTCTCACAATGATTCGTTTCCTTCACTAAGACTTTTTTTTCTTTCCTTCAACATTCCCCCATTGACTGGGTTTTTTCGATTCTCCTCCCGGCCGGCCCGCGGCCCCGACAAACGAAATGTTCATTCCAGGAATTGTTCAGGCCTTGGTCTCGGCCCTTACCTTGTTAGTCACCCGTCATCACCTCCATCGTCGACGCCAGTTAGGGACAGTTGGGAGCCTCAAATGTGAAAAGAGGCATGGAAGAAACGATCATGGGCATGGGAGACAACTGAAGAGAGGAAGGAACCGCGAGAACGGAGGGAGAACATTTGCGCTAACCATCCTGATTCACAGTGGAATCGTCATCCAAGCCGCGACGCCCGCCGTCTTTCCTTTAGCAAAGGGCCATGGCTCAAAGATCTTTCGGGACGGCCTGAGGCTGGTCCTCATCACATTCCTTGTATCATCCGCCCTGTGGGCTCAAATAGACTTCACCGGCATCACCCTCGACCCAACCTCGACTGCCGGATGTCAAGTCGCCGTAATTTTTACTACAATCTTCGATCAACTCGCCCGATTCACCATCGAGCAGTTCTTGCTATGGGCTATCAACGCGAACGCGAGAGCGCCGGCGAGCGCCATGGTCTACCAGGCGGTCCTCGGCGTGCGATTCATTCTGGGCGGCGTATTTGTTGGGTTCCAGAAGGCTCAGATTGCCACCGTTTGCGTTGCCAGGAATGATCTTCTGGCTATCGGTGCTGTTGTCATGGTCACAGACTTTGCCGTGATTGCTGCGCTCGCCTTCAGAGCCAACTCGATTGGCATCACGAGTGTGCCGGTGAAGAAGGCCATCTTCTGGGTCATTGGCGCCCTCGCCCTCTGGACGGCGGTACGTATTTCACGCCATTGCTTTGACACATCATAATACTAATCACACATCATCTTGATAGACAAGTATCCCAATGCTTCTGGGCATAGACACTATTGAGCTGATCTTTAGAACTGCTCTTCCCGCCACTGGCCTGTCAATCCTTCTCAGTACGTGCCGAGCCTTCGACTCGCTGCGCTTGTTTGCTAACACTTCCCAGGCATCCTTACAGGCTCTCTGGGAGTCTTGCTACCCCCTCGCCAAAAGCAAGAAGTTCATCCGGATGCCCAGTCCCCACGAAACATCAGTTCCAGCAGAGACCTCTCAACTTCAGACACTGACTACCCGCCGTCGCGATACGAGGACCTCAAAGGAGGCACAATTACTACTGTCACGACTTTCAACCAACCTGTTGACTTTGGTGGAGGTGTCGGCGGCGGCGCTCTGCCCACCATGCCTAGCATCGCTCCGGGTCAGGCATCTACCGGTGTAGGCGGTGTTCCCGTGCAGGGCCAGCTCTTCCCACCGATTCGGGCGCAGACGGCACCTCCCAGGCAAAGCAGGAGCATGGACGCGAGACCCAACATCATGAAGGGACGGAGTATCTTCGACAAAATTGGACCGGGCTCGAACATCAAGAATGCTATATCCAACCCGATCCTCCAGGACAGCGGAGAGCAGAACCCCCTGAGCAAGATCGCCACCATCGACCTCGCCACGGCCGCAAAGAACGACAGGGAGAAGAGAGGCAACGACTTTACTTCGATGCAAAGGAACTCGAGCTTCAACGCGCAGCGCCCGGCTCCCAAGCCCCCAGCGATTACTCCGGAAGAGGCTCTCAAACGTGCTCAGAGTGGAAAGAGGAAGGAAATTGGGCTGAAGTCGCCTCCTGCGGAACCGCAACAACTCCGATCGGTTGGGCTCATGTCGAATCCCCCCGCAACGACTTCGTCCGCCCAGCTGTCCCCCGGCGTAGAGGAAATCAGACGCAGATCCCCCAGGCAAATGCCAGAGACCCTCCAGCAGCTCGAGAACGAAAAGAGACCGGTCACGCCCCCGCAGACCGTACCTGTGAGCAGCATCTCTCCGCCTCGGCCACAACGCCCGGAAAGACCCCTGAGCCCCTTTGAGACGATGGACAGATCAGCCAGCCAGCGTACTGTGGAAAGGACTATGAGCCAGAAGACGCAAAAGACCCTCGACCGTTCCGTGAGCCAGAAATCCTCTACTGCGACCGAATTCACAGTTGCATCACCGCCCCTTGGTCTCGTACCTCCGCCTCCACCCAAGAGCGCCGCTCGTTTGATGTCACCTACCAAGAAGCCGGATCTACCACCAACCTGGCCGATTCAGACCGCCGTTGACCCGACAATCCGTCCCTCCAGGCAAAAACCTCTTTCGCCCAAGACACCTGGAGGCAGCAGTTTACAGCGACGCCCGACGGGTGGCCTGCCATCGAACCCTAGAGCGATGGCCATGAGGCCTTTGCCCAAGGACGCAGTTCAACAGGAGCAGACTGTCATGTTCGTGAACAAGATCCAGTACAATGACCCGACGGCAGTGCAAAGCATCATTGAGGGAGCCTCGAACCAGGCCGCCAAGACGCCTCATATGCAGTCTCCTGGGCCAGGGCTCAAGTCATCAGGGTCCGTCGTTCATAGACCTCGCCCGATTCCGAGACAGCAGGGCAAGGACCGCCAAATCTTCCCAGCAGAGAACTCTCCTAACCACAGGCGGAGCAAGTCAGGTGGTTCCATCATGAGCAGGAAATCAATTCTGTTATCGAATCCTGGCAGCCCGACTCAATTGCCACCTCTGCCACCACCACCAAAGAGCGCCGGTAACCATCCTGTACGCGCACTGCCAAATGACACCAAGAGCATGACCTTCGATGAGAAGATGGATCTTTTCTTCCCGGGAGCTCTTGGCAACTCTGAGGCGGGTGTCCAGCCCAGAACCCCAGTTCCCGAGATGCCCATGGTTCCTTTGGCCTTCAAGCCTGCGAGCAACTCGGGAGGTGATGAGAGAGATGCATGGGAATCAGGAAGCAGTCGGGATCAGTCCAAGCAGTCCGATCGCTCGACCAAGACGTCCATTCGGACCCAGAGTATTCTTGATATCGAAGAGTCAGTTCGGCCAGATCTGCCTCGCAACACCTCCAAATTCAGCGTTGATACCTCCGTTATCACTGGAAGACCTGATGAGCACGACTCTTGGATTCCTGCGTTACCTGTCAACGACACCGCGGAGATCAAGCGAGCATACGACGGAGCAAAGCGCCAGTCATCACCTGTGCTTCCGGTTCGCAACCTTAGTCTCTCTGAGTTCAGCGAGACGAGGACCGTCAGGACTCGAGATGAAGAGACCACGACAAACTGGGGATCCATTCACTCACCTGTCGCGCCGGTGAACATCCAAGAGGCTACGCACATGCCGAAGCCGACTTGGATCCAGCCTCGCGACTTATCCATGATCAGCCACAACGACGGCAAGGAGGTCATGACAATCATGCTCGATGCATCTATTGAGCATGAGAGAGACGTGGAAGCCCCGCAAGAGGCTCGCGAAAGCCCCGTCAACCTTCCAGAGGTGAGCCTCGCAAACAGAGGTGCTCGCTGGCATCGTCGCATCGGCGACGAGAGCATCACATTCACTGAGCGCAAGGAGCCGGTGCAGTCGCGCAGACAGCCGCCTCCGAGAGCTCTCCAGCTCAGATCTCCCGTCAAGAAGAACGCGATCGTGATGCACGCCGCAGAGCCTTCTCCATTGGAGTCGCCGCAACACGCCTACGAAATGATTCAAGCGCAACTCAAGAAGCTGGAACAGCCGAACCGCGACTCGTACGAAAGCCAAGGACAGAGAATTCGTCTTCTGGAATCTTTGGAAGCTGAAATGGGTCAGCAAGAGAACCAATGGCACGAGATGCAGCATGGTCTCAGCCGGGACTCCATGTCGACAGTTGGAACGACGTCGGTCCGCAACTCGCAACACGAGTCTGCAATTGTCAACTCACGAAGCCTTGCCCAGATTGACGAGTCGCTGCAAGAGATTCCCCAGCGCAACAACATTGCGTTAGACCGGCGCAATTCCCGCCGCGCTCGGATGGGCAGCATGAGCAAGTCGTCGTCTGAAGATCTGAGGACGCTAAGCGCGTCTTCCCTCTCTTCTGACGGCACCAACAACAACCGCACCAGTCTCTGGCAACAGCGACTTGCGGATGCTCAAATGGAGTATATGGAGAACGCTTCTGAACTATTGGCAAAGAGAAACCTCAATTTCTTGTCTGTCTCAAAAGCGCCCTTGAGTGCGACTGCTGCGGCGTTGCAGCTTGGCAGTCCTACCCCACCGGACACCGACGAGGAGTCCGACGGCGCTGACGGTGTCAACGCTCAGATACTCGCGAGGCTCATGCCGAACGAGCGAGCTCCCGCACCCCCAGAATGTCTGTGGAAACCCGACTCGCCAGTTTATTTTGAGCGCGAACCACCGCTGCTTTGGGCTCCTCCCGCAAACCATGGCGTCGCGTCTAAAGTTACTTCCCCCAATGGCGACACCTTACCTGGTATCTCCGTTCGCCCTGCGACACGCAAGGTCTCCGATCCCCTAAATATCGTGAGCTCGCAACTTTGGCAGCCCGATCATACTGCTGCTAAGAAGCTGCGGCCCACCTCCGGACTTTGGCGTGTCTCTTGGAGCCCTGAGCCCATCAAGGATAACTTCCAACAGCCCCAGCGTCCCCTGACCCAACGTCCACCAAGACGTAGCAAGCGTGTCACACTGTTGCCCGATATTCTTGAGAGCCCGCAACCCCTTCCTGATAAGAGAGGTACGCTCGGTATCTTCCAGTTCCCCTGGGGCGAGAAGTCGGACACCGCCACCGTCCAACCGCGTGGGCCAAGTCATATGTTTATGGCTATGCCCGGTACTATGTCAACTGGTGGACCTGCAGTACGTGCCGCATTAGAAGCTCGCGCAAAGCAACTCGAAGCTCAAGAATACTCCTCTTCCTTCTTTGACGACTACGACGACGAGGAAGAAGGTGACGACGAAGTGTCTGATATCGAAGACGACGAAGACAGTGACGACGGCTTCGACGAGACCACCCTCTGGGAAATCGCCAGTCTACTCCAGTCGGATCAGGTCCCGTCCAAGAACAGTCTACTCCCCCAGCCTATCACATACCGCCCAGAGTCCTTTGCCGAGGAGTACATCTCTGAGCGCTCTCAGTCAGAGTACGAAGACTCCGAAGACGAGAAGACGGCTGAGGATAACGACGACCCCAAGCACGACTCAATGGTCATCACCATCGCCGCCGAGGACTTTGCCTCCTCGCCGGAACCCGTCTCCCTTCTCTGGACCCCTAAGCCAAAGCATTTCATCAGCCGTCGCACCTCAACAGGTCTTCCGCAACCCGATGCCCGTGTCTGGGGAAGCTACCTCGACAAGATGAGCGCCCCTGCCCGCGTCCGCGAGCGTCTCCCAGAGCCTGCCGTCATCCACAGCACTTCTCTCTGGACCGCGCCTGCGAAGAAGCAAAAGCTGGCCCAGTCCAACACTCCCCTCTGGAGCAAGCCGCAACAGCAGCAGCAGCGCAAGAGCAAGAAGACGTCCATGTGGGCTGCCAGACCCGCCGTCATCTACACCGAGTCTACCGGCTTGTTCAACCCCAGCCACAAGCGCGCGTGCTTCAGAACAACCTCTGCACTCCCCGTCGGCCTCGGCATGCCCTCCGCCGCCCGCGTGACGTCCGAGGAGCTGCCCCAGCTCGAGTCGTTCAGCCTCTGGGCCCCTACACCCGCAGAGACCCGCATCGAAGACTGGATGTCCCTCGCCGTCGCTAGACCCAGCTCCCGCGCCTCGTCTGGCCGCTCCACGCCATCCTTGGATACCGCATCAACACGATCCGACGATGAGGAAGCCGTGTCCGACTTTGAGCCGCTCCCCGAGGTCCCCGCCGTCAAGCAACCGACATGGTGGGATTCCCTCAAGTCCCAAATGTCCGCTCAACCGCAATCTACCCAGCCTGAGCCCCTCCGCCGCACAACAGCGACGGCAGCGCAATGGGAAGCCGCCCTGAGTGAGGCCATCGGTGCGATCCCCTCACCGCGTCTCGTCCGCAAGGCTTCCACGCCGTCAGAGTGGGCAGAGGCTCTCAACCGGGCCGTGTTCTCATCCTCCTTCAACGCAGCGACGTCGCACCCGGCCCTCGCAGGCTCCGTGACGACGACAACAGTCTGCGACCCCGCCGTCGCAAACCCAATCTTCTTCGCCTCGGTTCCTTCTACCGTCGTGCCCCTCTGGACCGCCCCCGTCGTCACGATCCCCAAAGACACGGGAATCATGTGGATCCCTCCCACCAAGCCCCGCCGCCACGCGCACGACACGACGCCCATGAAGCCCGAGGACCCTGAATCCCGCCGCCTGCGCATCAAGCGCACCAAGAAGATGGGTGGTACCAGCACCGACCCGTCCACCTTTGGCCTAGTCAGCTTTGACGGCCAGGCCATGTGGAACGACGTCTACGGCGCCGAGCTCAGAAGCAGGAGCGTCACGCCTCTGGGTGGTAACCGGTACTGGATCGCGGAGGACGTGGCTCAGGAGTCTGTGGAGGAGGAGCTGATTATCCAGTTCGGGTGAGAAAATTGTCGTGTTTGGACAAAAGATTGGAAAAGGATATCCAGATTTAGGAAAGAACAGGATCTGAGATTTGTGGTCTCAGGGAAAGGAAATCGGTGACACGATGTAAGAAGAAATCAGTGGTCCTTCTTACATAGCGTTTTTTTTGTTTCTGCGAGGTTGTGGGGAATTCCCTTCTTTTTCTAAAAGGACTTTCGCAGTCACACCCACACACTCAAACAGTGTTTCTCTTTTTTTATCTTGTCTAGTAGCTACAAAAGCTTCAGGTGTTCCCACGTTGTTTCCCTGGATGACTGATGTGTGTGTGTGTGTGTGTTTCTGCGTGTTTATATGTCTTCTGGTCACTACATCGTGGTAATACGATTTACCCCGTATATCCCCGATTAATTTACACCCCAAAGTCAGAATGTCATCAACCACAAAGAGCCACACTACCGGAAAGCCA